CAGATTTTGATGCAGATTTGTGGAGAATTGATCCACAAATCTTGTAAGGTACGCCGCTCTAGAATCAGATGAGTATTGGCAAAGATATAGCTATCGCAGTGGCTCATATTGGCAAATTCATAGATTTTTGAAATTTCCAGGGGGTCCTCCAGAAAATTTGACAAAATATCTGAAAAATATTTTGGTTCCAGATTTTGATGCAGATTTGTGGAGAATCGATCCACAAATCTTTTAAGGTACGCCGCTTTAGAATCAGAGGAGTTTTGGCAAAGATATAGACATTGTTTGGGCGAATATGTTGATATCGTGGATTTTAAAGAGGCTTGTGTTTCTCTAAATATTTTGTATGGCTTAAAATTTTAACAATTTTTTCTTTCTGTTACTCTTGAACAACTCAAATAATTCTGTTTTAGCAATTAAGAACCAGAAATTAATTAATTCCAAACTATAAAAACCGTTCTTTCTAATTAAGTGCTTATAAATCTCCTCAATATCTGAGAGTACTTGAAACTTCCGTTGAAACTGGAAAACATACATAAGCAATTAGACACCAGAAAAATGCATTTCCCTGCAACCAGAGTATAACAGTCCAATTAGAGGACAATAAATCTTCGAAAGAGCTGGAAAAACCCTCTAAATTTTGGTTGATAAAACCCCGAAATTATCACACAACCCAACAACATGATATATGGGCACTCAGCTAGACTTTAACCCATTAGCCAACCGGAAGATCGCTCAATTAGCGATGCTCCTCGCTGGTCAGTCGCAAGTCCCAAGTGGGTCACTCGAGGAAAAGGATTTGCGAATCGGATTTTTATTCATCCACTGCCCTCTACCATTGCTAGTGCCATTTCATGTCCATGTACGGGCCCCTTTGTTGGGCCAACAAAGTGACATAAATCTTGGCAAGCACGCTGGCAGAAACTCAACCGGAACTAAAGCAATGACGCAGCAGGACCGGAGGACACATGTCGATGCGTTTGGTTTTTCCAGTCATAACGGTCTCGTGTGTGAGAGTGTGCCAGTTCCGAGATTTATCGACCCCCGGAAGGGGTGGGAATAAACATCCATATCTATGAATCTGTCGTATCTTGTGAATCTGCGTATCTATTTGTAGCCCTAGATCGCGGGACATCGATGCCGGATGCACAAAACGACAGGCGTTCGATTGAAATTAATTGAATTTACTCCCAGGCTTCAAGACTTTGCCCAGCTTCAAGATTTGGGGAGTGGACTTTCACGAAGAAAGAGCGTGGACGCTTGTTTCCTGTTTCTGCTCGAGATGTTTTTGCTGCATAAATTACACTTACATACATATCCATATCCAGCATGTATGTAATATATACTATGTATTCATATCCTTGACAAGTTTGCTAAAGAAAAAAACAGGAACATTAAATTTATTTTTTTTTGCAACCCCGAGTGAAAGGCGGCCCCCCAAGAGCGTTGGTTCGCTGACTTTGGCAAAGTCATGAATTTTCTCGGTTATTTTTATGATTTCTACTACCAAGTTGTTTTCGCTAGTTTTTGTTTTTGGTCCTGACAGGGTTGCTAGCCGCACACTTGGCTGCCCTCCAATCGCCGGAAACGATGATCGTCGTCGACTATAAAAAAAATTTCAGGAAAGCCAGACAAATTTATCACGATTTTGTGGGGGTGCCAGCTTTCAAGATATCATTTATCTTTCTGGCTATTCCTTGATATTGCTTTTTAAACAACAACTTTAAGTTGTCTTAAAGTATTTGTAAGTTAACAGTAGTTTTGAATTTGGCGCCCTGCATTCTGTTAACGGTCGTAAGTATTGGCAGCTGGCTAAAAACTGTGTCAGCCTAGTGTTGGCAAACATCCGCTTAGAGTGTTGGTAAACAAAGAAAGAAGTGTTACAAGTCCTACGTTTTTTTTAGTAAAGTGTTTTGTTTTATTTACTCATTTTTAATGCACTTTTAGTCAGTTTCGCTGTGTGATTTTGTAAGTAACTTAAAGTTTAATGCAAGCCCATTGCGAATCAATTGTAGGAGCAGCAAGGACAGCAGAAAAAAGCAGTAAACGCAGCAACTGCAAATTCAGCTGCGACCAACAAGAATTTCGTTGTTGTTTTTCTCGCTAGTGGGTGCTCCTCCGGGGTGTGGAGCACCCTCCCTCGGAAATAGCGCGCCCCGCAGGAAAAACTTGGGGTTTCCCCCAGGGCTTGCCATTTACGATGTTGTGGTCACGCGAATTCCGCCCCATTTCGAGTGGTCATTTTCCGCTGTAAAAAAAGCGCCTCACCTCCCAAAAGCAGAACGCAGAAGGGAACGCCCGCATTTGTTTGTATATATGTATATTTGTGTATATTTTGCCCACGTTTTATGCTAATTAAAGTGCAACCTGTTTTTTTTTTAGCCAGTCGGTATTCTGCTTCAATAATTGAATTAACAAGGGAGTCTCCACATGCGGCGCATTATCAGCCCAGCAGTCGGTTTGCTTCCAACTTATCGCTCTTGATTGAAAGCCAGAAAGCCAACAACTCAGCGGAGGGAGCACACACAGCGAGCGTATATGGCGTAGAATTCGAAGCACGATAAGATAACTACGACTTCTATACTCTGCCCTGCAGTTGGGGGAAGTCTTTGTCGTTGTTGTCGTCGGGATTCGCAAATTGCCTTCAATTTTCGAGTTAATTGTGGAGTTGCAACCCCGAAAGACTCGTGCTGGCTTCCCGCTGGTACGCGTAAAAAGATTTCCATTTTTTATCCCTCCGACCCTAGTCTGCCGGCTCAATTGGTACGATGAGTGTGTCAATAATTGGTCCTAATTGAAGTCAAAAGCCAGGCGTAACGCTTCATTTGTTGACGCACTTTTTAGTCAGCTAGATGACTATGATTGTCACTGGGAGATCTTCCTTCTATAGTGCTTACCATTTGTATGTAAAGTTGATGGTTATGTGCCAAGAATCTCATTAAATTAATTTACAAGTGAAAGTTGTTTAGGAAGTGGTTGTAGTTTGGGTCTGTGCATCATCCCTTATGGTTTTGTTTCTTAATTAAGCTGCAACTTCCATTCTTGGTTAACGATCTTAAGACCTTTTTCCAATTAGTCAACGTAGAATTCTTATTGTAAGTTTAAAAAACATTAGGTTTTCTAAATCGCCATAGGCCTTCGTCACAATTCTATGGCTAATAGCACTAACCATACAGCATATAGACAACCCATTTCATACAACGAAAATGGACGCGAAAATTTCTTGCTACAGGCCCCAGCAGGCCCCAGAGCGGATTTCTTACGCTCTCTTACGCTCATCGTTCGTTCATCTTACGCTCATTCTCGCATTAAATGTTTTCTGTTTCTCAGTCTCTAAACGGAGCGCGATGAAGAAGGTTGGCCTGCGCTTCGGTTGATCTTTGTATGTATGCGTGTCACACATTCACATACATGGGTGTATGTGTGCGTGCGATTTCGTTTCGAAGCCAGCGCACAAAATTTTGATTTTTCTTACTTTTAAGGCTTGCTACCCTAACAAAATTCGGGTATTCGTTATTTGATGAAATGACGAAAGAAATTATATTATTTTGTATATTATATTTTTTTATTATTTCAGCATACATTTTTAATTTATTTAGGAATAAGATTAAGTGTTAGTAGTAAAATGTTTTCTGTATATATATTTTTACGAATCATTAAAAATCAATATACTGAGAAAGTGTCAGAGTATATTTCGGTCGGAGTCACTTAAAGCGCCGATTGCTTTTAAGTTTTTGTTGTTCTGCAAGAGGCTTGTGCATGCCTACTCTAACGATGGAATGATTTTTAGGGGAGGGTGAAGACACGAAAACAGCTGATGGACTTGTTTACCTTTTTTGTTTACAATTTTTCAGGCACTTGTTATTATATTTTGGGTTATTGTGAGATTTAATTAAATTATTGTCGTTAATTTAATAATTTCCTTATATATATTTCCTTATATATAATAACTTTAAAAAGTAATTTAATTCTTCACCCGTCTTCACCCTCCCCTAAAAATCATTCCATCGTTAGAGTAGGCATGCACAAGCCTCTTGCAGAACAACAAAAACTTAAAAGCAATCGGCGCTTTAAGTGACTCCGACCGAAATATACTCTGACACTTTCTCAGTATATTGATTTTTAATGATTCGTAAAAATATATATACAGAAAACATTTTACTACTAACACTTAATCTTATTCCTAAATAAATTAAAAATGTATGCTGAAATAATAAAAAAAAATAAAATAAAAAATAATATAATTTCTTTCGTCATTTCATCAAATAACGAATACCCGAATTTTGTTAGGGTAGCAAGCCTTAAAAGTAAGAAAAATCAAAATTTTGTGCGCTGGCTTCGAAACGAAATCGCACGCACACATACACCCATGTATGTGAATGTGTGACACGCATACATACAAAGATCAACCGAAGCGCAGGCCAACCTTCTTCATCGCGCTCCGTTTAGAGACTGAGAAACAGAAAACATTTATTGCGAGAATGAGCGTAAGATGAACGAACGATGAGCGTAAGAGAGCGTAAGAAATCCGCTCTGGGGCCTGCTGGGGCCTGTCGCAAGAAATTTTCGCGTCCATTTTCGTTGTATGAAATGGGTTGTCTATATGCTGTATGGTTAGTGCTAATAGCTTCCCAATGCCATTTTTCTTGGAACTGCCCAAGTGACTAAGCTACTTCCACTTCCACTTTGCCGCTTCCTCTTGATTTGTGGGTAAAAAAAAGAAAGACACCAGCGCCCATTGAGGTGATGATTAGTCATCAGGCAACCCACTGGCATGGGTCCATCACCTTGTGGCCCGGTTCCCTGTCCCTTCCTGCTCCTCCACCGTCTGCTGGCAGTCGGTTTTCTGGTACATTTTGTTTTGTTTACATTTTGAAGACTGCGATCACCGAAGAGAGCAGCAGCTGAGAGAACCACCAGGCTCTCTTCTTCTGCTCGGTCGCTCTCCGCTTGGTATCTCAACTGTTGCTCCCCGGCGGGGGCTCTTTGGGGCCCCATGGCTCAGTTGAGTTTCATCCGCCGTCGGTGCCAATTCGTTCGATTGTGCCGCGCCCGATACCGATACGCGTATATACATACATATCTATAGCATATATATAAAAAAAAAGAATCGTACATATAGATATCATCAGTCGTTCAAGTTCAACCAAATAATTTCAAAGAGTTCCCAGCTCAATTGTGAAAAATCCAAAAAGGTATATCAGCCAATCGGCCAAGTGCGAGTATTTGTGCGTGACATATGGTGTTATTTTTAAACGGTCAGCGCCAATATGTGCCGCCAATGATCGAATCAATTGTGTAACACCCATAGTTTCATCTGAAAGTACAGTGTGTGATCTGCGCCGGCGCAACCCCGAGGAAAACCCTTTTCCACGCACCGGAAAGGTTCCACCTAGCATCTGGAGATGGTTGTTTTTTTTCGGTTTTAGTTTTTTTAGTAACAACCAGAAAAATTACCTCATCGCTCTGCCAGCGTTCGGCGTCGACGTCTGATGTGTCTGCCCCTGACTTTATGCTTCCACACACACAGATATTTCATTCTATATTTCTTGTTTGAACAGAAAGCACAGTAATAAATGTTGATATATAGAAATAATAATAAAATCTACAAAGGGGGAGCAGTAAACCCCCATATTCCACCTAGTCTAGCTCTCAGATACAATTATTTTTTAGAAAAAAGGTTTTTAAAACCTGATTACTGTTTCTATTATTTATTCAAAACCTATAGAGATCATGACTATATTTTTTTCGGTGCCTAACAGCAGCTGGCTGCCTTCAGCGCCACCCACTCCACCCCCTTTAGCCCGCCTCCATAAATAAAAATTATCTTCAAGATACATACGCACGCTTAGATTTGTTTTGTATTTCTTACTAGATTTATTGTTTTTTATTTTTTTACCTTTTCCACTCTCTCTGTCTCTTGGCTTATCTCTCTTTCTCTCCCAAATTTTAATTTGCATTCGAATATGTATTTTTTTCGATTTTTTTTTGGGGTTTTGTCATAATTTCTCTGACTTTTGTGTGGTTTTCCTCACATTTTTTGTTGGATTGTTTGGCGAATTCCGCTGTCGCTCCATTTTGTGGGCGTATTTTTTATATTTTTTTGTGTTATTATATATCCATTATCTTGAAATGTCAATGCTCGTTTAAAGCCGTTTCTCGATTTCGGTCGCCCTCTCTCTTTTTTGACCTTATTAGCGTTTTTCGTTTAGTGTTTATTTTTTTGTTGGAATGCCTCAGCCACATAAACACGCTTCGGAAATATAAAGAAATCGAGATCCAAGCTCATTTTCACTCCATGCTGCTGTGTGGGCAGAGAATCGGCCCCACAACTACCAAATATACGAAATATCGGACGTAGACATGGACGTGTGGAAGCTTTGCATCCGCCAAGTGGTACACTTGACAAATGTTTTGGATATTAATTGGTTTTTTGGTTTGGTTTTGGTTACTTTATTCAAATATTAGAAATATTGATTCAAAAAACCTCCCAAATAAACCATCTTCTCACACAAATCCTCACTACATCCCCCAACTCTTTCATTTTTTAATACAGTTCTGTAATTAATTAAAACATATTTTTTTCTTATTGTGTGATATTTAGAGCTGCGTGTACACTCGTTTTCGAAACCCATTCATTGAGCCAACTGATTTGTAACTCGGTCACTGCTGGAACTGAACTGCCGCCTGCCAGTGGGCAGTGCACGTTGCCCATTTTGGGGCACGTTTCGATTGCCGCCGCCAGACAAGTGACTGCATTTTCTACACTGTATCTACAATATCTGCTTGGATTTTTTTTTTTTATTGCTTTGCATATTTTTATTATTTTTTCTGTTTTATTAATTGAGCTGTATTCATTAATTCGGCATTGCTCTGGGCGAAAGGGGAGACGGAGGGAGTGCAAAGGTCGTTCAATGGATACGCTGGCCATACAACTTTCGAAAGCGAGATTGATGTCCCGGGGATGTTATTGTAGTGAGGTTTAATTCGTATTTTGTAAATTTTGTAATTAATTGATTTTTTATTTGGCAAGCGTGAAATGAGAGTGTCAGTAGGGGGATGTCAGTGAAGACTTCTAGGGAAAGTTCATTAAAAACTTTCCCCAACTAAGTGCCACTTGACGACAAATGTTCAGTGCATGTTTCAAGCTCAATTAAATCAATTGCTAACCATATCAAAATTCAACAAAAAAAAATGTGTTAAAAAAAAAAAAAGAACAAAAGCAAAGCCGTAATAACAATTAAAAAATAAAAATAACAAGTGATGTGTGCGCTCTATTTTCTTAACGCCTCAGCATTTTCATTGGCTTCGTATTGCACTTGCTCGTAGATACATACATGCCTGCTGAAAGGCGTGTGTATATATATAGATACAGATACATTTTGATGGTAGGTCTCTCAAACTGCTGCCGCACACATGTTTCAGTTTCTGTTTCCAGCCAGCTAGCCCAACATTCAAAAATGCTAAATAAACAGAATCATTTTTATATGGAGCTCATTCTTCTAGATTCTATATTGAGTTCGATTGGGTCTTCTGTCTTCTGGTTCTGGTGTCCAGCCAGCCAGCCCCTCGTATTATGGAATAGTTTATTGTTTGGGAATGTTTCTTAATTACGCGGAACTCTCAAGTGGCGGAGGTGGAAAGCGAAAACCAGAACCGCACCATATCGGAATTTCAAGTATTTCCTCTGCCGATTTCGATTCGGGTTTGGGATTCGCATTCCCTTTTTTTTTCCACGCACACTCATCGTCGATATTGAATGGTTGAGTCATTAAGAATCCTCCTCGCCAGTCCCTTGTTTACTATTAATGCTGATAAAAAAAATATGCATTTCTAAAAATAAACACTCGTATTTGTTGTCTGCCTTCGGGCGTTATTGTCACCAAGTTTGTGAAGTTTGTGCGAAGATTTATGCAAAAATTAATTTCCATTATCCGACTACCGAACTCGGTTCGTTTTTATTTGTTTTGTTTATCTCTGGATGTGGAAGTGGGTTTGGCTCCCGATCGGGTTGTGTGGAATACGATTCGATTCCCAATCTCCCATTCCCCCGTCATGGGGGGTGTCGTAAATCCCTGCTTGATTACGTCAGTAATTCATTGGCGTTTTTCTGGTGGGCCTTAGCGGCCCAAACACGCATATGGGCACTTCATCAATCTGTCAGTCCGTCAGCGAGTCCATTGGATGCGGTCAATCGATATGTCAGCTTTGGCATTCCAGCTTTTGGATTGCAACGGGTTGTGGTTTGTCACTCTGCCGGATCCACACCCCAAATCAGTGGGGGGTACGGGCTTGTAACCCTTGAGATGTAACTGCCTTTAAAGCGGATGGAGGTTTGTTATGGATTTGAGATTATATTATTCCTAGGCTTTCCTAGAAATGTATCTGTATACCTAGTTCTTAAAAGATTAATTCAAGTGTAGGCCAACCCCAACCCTATACATTTTATGCATTCCATTCCCGATTTGATTATCTCTCCACGGAAAGTGTCTCCCCCTTTTCCGGAGACTGTCGTGTCGTGTCCAGTGGCAGTTATCGCTAGGCTTGGCCTTGCCTTGCAATTTATTTCCATTTCATCTGGGGCGGGGAAGCTCCACAAGGAAGGCTCTTTTTTAATCAATGAAACTGCTTTGTACGAGTGTGAAAAGAAAAAAACACTCTTTGGTTTGTGCCCCTCAAAGTCAACTCAGCTGCAGATTCCCCTCCATCAGAGAGATGCCCCTGACTGACTATATCTAAATATATATATAGATATGTATATATATTGTTTATATGCGAAAGTACCCCTGTCGCTTTTGGCACTCACTTGTGCGAAAATCCATTGGAGCCCGGCAGTCGGGAGCCTAATTTTTTGCCGACGACATCCAGTGGGTAGGGTTCCTCCCTCTTGAGTGGGCATGGGAATGGAACTTGGCATCCAATCATAAAATTGCTTGGCAATGTCTTTCGTATGTAGATGTGGCCAGAAAGGCATAAAGGAAGGAAGGAAGCAAAGGCAATTCTTGTTGGCAGGAAATGTGAAATTTCTAGGGGAGAATCGTACACATTGTCTATAAATACATATCTGTATAAAGATATTAACATACGAGAAGGAATGTTGGTATATATGTATACTATAATCCTTCCTTTCCGATTCACCTTACTCTCTGTTCATTGATGTTATCCGGTATCATAAGTAGAGCTAATTACAAACACGCTCCTCTCTCCATGAAGGACTCTAATTAGTGCTCTGATCCCTATCACTTGACATCATTTGGCCGCATTATGATGTGCCACCACCTTGATGATAACATAATTGAAAATTACAGCCCATCGAGAGGTTGTCCTTTATGCCTGCCAACCCACCCAGGTCCTCCCCCTTTTGAGGTCACTTTTGTCGTCGATTCATTCGAATTGATTTGTTTGTTTGCCTTCCCATCCATCCATCCTTTCAGACATCCAACCATCCATCCTTCGGTTTGTTTATTTGTGTATTTAGTTACTTTTAATGCATCTTTTATCTGGATTTCGCCATCATCATTGGCCGCCCATTGTTGTTGCTGTGACTGCCGCGATGCTGTGACTCTGATAGTGATACACAAATTTGTGCCCCATTGTGAGGCGATGACGGGCCGTAGTACATAGTTGCCCCAGCAACTCTGCGACGACTGCGATGTCTTGTTTACTCAAATTACCACAGCCCGAGTCAGGGGTTATCGTAAGGTGCACCTAGTCTCTCTCTCTGAGTTGACCTCCACTTGTGGGCGGCCTGCTTTCCAACTAGCCAATAATATCAAGCTCAAGGAGAACATTATTCTCCCTAAAAAGTGTTTATTGCCGATCAATTTCCATAAAGTTGAATGCCCTCAATCAGAGAAAGGGAACTCAGAAACGTGACTGTTGTTTATAAGTATTTTCGCCAAATAAACATTATGTCTACGTTTGGAATTGTATATCTTATCTGCCAATGCAATTTTTAAACAATGAGAGAGCTTCTTAGTCAGAGATATTTTAATGAAAGCTATAGGATTCATAGAATTTTCCATAGAACCGAATATTTTCAAAAAAGATCATAATTTTCACCTTAACAAGGTTAGAAAAGCTCATAAAAATATTTATATATTTTTCCACCTAACTAACATAATTGTTTTAGTACAAAACACTACAGAGTTGAACAAAAAAACCCGAAAGGCAACGTAATTATACCATTTTTCTGTGGCTCTCACTGGATCGTGACACATTCGCTTAACGACTAGTACCTTTCGACAGTCCGTCACTTTCCACTGACATTAAAAATATTAAAAAAAAAATAAAACTTTTAGCTTGAATCGTTTGATGGCTGCTGTGTGTTGTTACATCGCTCATCCGAAACTCATAATCAAGCGAGTCGCCGGTGGGCAGCGATCAGCGATCTCGCATCTTGGGGATCTCGCCATCTGGTTGGTTCCCCAAACTACCGAGTTGTAGTACAAAATTTTATGAAATTTCTATAAATTCAGCTATGAGTCATAGGCAGATGAATGAGCCAAGAGCAGCATCGCATCATCATCGGCTGGGTGGTACAGTGGAGATCCCTGCGAGAGACTAGACGTTGGGGACTAGAATCTTAAAAGTTCACCTGGTTGGGATCAATTCTGTAATCGTTTGACGTTGACTTTGCCGGCATTCGCGTCGTTCTATTTCCAGTCTAGCGTGGAAATCGTGCCATATCGACATGGGGGCCCTGGGGATTGGGGACTAGTGGGGATTTCGATTCTTCACACATTGAATTTCCAAACTTTTGTGGGGCTTGGTGGGGTTGTACTAGTACGCATCGAATCGAAAATCCAAAAGATTTGTCTGTGCCCTCCTCTGTGACTTTGTTTACCTTGAAAGTTCTCGTTTATGCTGGATATTTTTAGGCACCTAACATATATAGAATCTAGGCGATTGAGCTCATATATAAGGTATATGTTGTTTTGGTTTAATTCAAATCTGTTTTTGCTTTGAATCGTAAAGGCAACTTTTTTTTCCGAGAGGCTTTTTTCAACACATTTCACGTTGAATTTTCTTTGGCAGTTTATTTTTCTCTTTCTCCCAATTTTTATTTCTTGGTTGTGATGTGATTTATGGGATTGAAAGCTGATTTAAGCACTTGGATGTGTAGTCATCACCACCGTCACATCTATAAGATGTATTATTTTGTGGGTCTTTGATGGTTCTGACTAGACATTAGTGTTGAGGTGACAGGCAGCTAATTTAAAAGCTTAATTCAATAATGAAGACTTTGCTAGGGGCTATAGGATAGAAGATCCCTAATCTCAGGTCAATAAACCCATTCCTGCCTGCCTCTGTACTCGGAACCCTTTTAGCCGCCGGAGTTTCAGCATCGTAGAACGTGCCTGAGCCCCTAGCCCGACATCTGGCTGCATGCCGGAATCGTGCCAAGGTCTCAGATTGTGTTCGCTATAACTACGTGACGCTATCGTTTTGTAATTTTGATTGCCCCGCGAAGAACTTTATACACATACCCAGTTACATATATGTACTGTCTATATGTGTATATGGTGAACCCAATCAGCCGTCGACCCACTAAGCTCGAAAACTTGTCCAACGCCCACAATATCGCATTTTCGCTTTCATTCTGTGGAAGGAGATCGCTGGGTGAGGCACCCACGCCCCCATGATTATATAGTGTTTCTTGTGAATGAGTTGAGGTCCGACCTGCACCTGTACGAGCCGGATTAGTTGTAAAGACTTTTAAATTAATTAATCTTTTGATTACCATGTTACTCAACTCTTATAAGCTTATAAGCTGATCTAAAAATTAAGTATTTTAGGAGTAATATTTGTAAGTAACCTCCAGTAACCACATTCCTGGCCAGACAACTCTCCATCGTATCCTATCCGATCTTGTCGTCTTGGTGCACTCTTTTGGGCTTTTGGGTGTTGATTGATATTTTCTGTAGTTGTTTCTTCACTGGGTTCGAGTTGCTCGAAAGTCGTATAAACAAAAGTCGCTAATGGAAAAGTCTGGTGCAGCATTCTTGGAATGGTATTCTATGGTGTTGCTGTTGGCTCTTGCTCCGGCTGCCTTGGTGGCATTAACCGCAATGCCAACATCTATTCAGTCCGTATATGTGCGGCTATAGATATACAAGATGCATCTCCTCCTCCTCCTTCTCCAGATGGCCCACCTAACTCCAACTCCTCGGCCTGCCACCCATCATCGTCGAGGTCGAGCTGTGCTAATATGGAAAATGAAAACAGGAAAAATGCTTTGTGCGTTTTCAGATACACTCCACTCCTATGTTGTGTTGTGTGTAGCTTTGTGGCACGTTGGGAGAGATTGAGATAGATTTAGCCGGGTCTTAATTTCGCTTTGGTTTCGCAAATGCCGTTTTAACCGTTTGGCTTTGCTCTTCTATTTACAGATCTTTTAAACAAATCTTAAAAACGACATCAGCAACGAAGAAATAGAAACAAATAGAAGTAACTGCAACAACGACAACTTTTAACACTGCCTCTATACACACTTATACACACACGAGCGAGTACACACAACAAACAACTTTCGATAAACACATTTCTCAACAAAAACCATTCGAAATCAACAGAAACTGAATCGAATTTCTTGGCCAACGAATTGAGGTGAGTAGAGGTGTTAAAACGATAATATTTCCATAAACAAGTATGTACTTTCTTCTTAAAAAGACTACCTAAAGATTAAAGAAAGATAAACAAGAAAGCTGTCTTTGGGGAATTTCTTAAACAAATATAAATATTTTTAAATATCTTAGTTATCTTAAGATTGCTGGGAATGAGAATCCCCCTAGAGTCCCCAACTAGGTAATCAATCCTACCTATAAAGCAGATCACTAATAGGTCTCTTAAACTTTATGGCTTTCCTGGAGCTTCGTTTTATGCCTGGGGAAGACCGCTGGGCAAATTCTATTTTTCCACTTAACAAAACAGAAATAAAAACTGTGCAAATTACATAAAAAGGCTCCACATTGGCGCAGCTTTTTGTTATCCTTGTCAGGACAATCAGGGGGAAAACATGGCTGAATTGGTTGGGTGGAGGGCTGGCTGACTAGCGAAGGAGTAACGACGTGTCCCAAGACAAGAGAAAACTGTGCAGATTCCTTGGCGGCCACCACAGGACTCCTACGCACCCACCAGGATAAGGATACACATACACACACATGCATATCCATTTTATATGGCCAGACAAAATGGAGGCTATGGCGCCAGAATGTCGCGCCAGTTGAGCTTTTTTTTTTTGCCTCTCCTTGGCTATTATTGCAGAGATAAGTGGTATTGGTGGGTGGATGAGAAGGTCCTGGAGGTCCTGCCAACTTAAAGATAGTTTCAACTTTTCGTAACTCATTTTCCTACAATTAATCACGAAGAAAATCTGATTTCCTTAACTAATTAAAAAATAGCTCACAAAGGATAATAGTCCAAAAAAAGAAAATAGAGGAATAGATCTCCCGCTGTCCGATTTTCCCAATTTTTGGACCATTATTCATTTCGCATGGCCCGATGGCTCTTTTTGGCCAAAACCCGAACTTAATTTATGCAACTTGGCCAAGTAAATGGTAACGAAAACATGTCAGCTTGTTGTACATAAGGCGAAAGCGAAGTTCAGCCATTGGTGGTCCAACGCCACCCATTGGGCGGACACAGTTGGTGGTGGATTTTCCGCAAGGAGCCCGCAAAGTGATGGGTGCTGCAGGAAACGCGCCCAAACCATCCCTGCCGCTTAGGCAATTTTTTACGATCTCATCCTCGCATCCTGCTCGCACATCCTCGCCATGGCTGGAAGCTGGGAACATGCCGTTTCATCCCAGCATCATCATCATCCGATGTCCTGGCCGCGGAGCATGCGCCGATGAGAAGCCAGGACGTCGCCGGCAAGTCGCCGATTCTCACAATGCTTACGACTTGTGGAATGGATGATGTTGGCATCAGAAGCTCACGATGTGTCGCCGGCATAGCACATCATTCTAGGCCTAGCCGCTAATCGGGCAGGACTTTCTGCCACAGCTGCCACACAATCTTCTCTTCTCCACAAAGAATTCTATATATATTTTGTTCAAGTCCGCGACTTTTTAAACCGTTTGTGCCTCAGTTGTTAACCAAAAAAAAAATTAAAATAAAAAAAATTAAAAAATATTCGTTAAGTTTGGCGGTCAAGTGCCTTTTGTACCGTTTCGGTTCCTGTTTTTTCGTAATAGTTCGTTTAGAGTGCCTTATCCCTAAGAAATCCCTAACTTAACTCTCGAGTCGAGTGCCTTGGACAGAAAACTTTACTTTTTTAAAAAATAGACCTTAAGTCAGTGCGATTGAATCGCCGATCTGCCACTAGTTTGCCTTAGAACTACAACTAAACTAAAAAAAAAACACCAATTTGTTATAAAGCCTTACACGATTTTAACGATATATACACAGTCACACGATTATATATTAAAAAAAACTTTACACAAGCTTTTATACTAGAGAACAAAAAAAACTAAAATTTTAAATGTTATTTGTTAAAAAAAAAACAAAAAAGACGTTGTTGTATACGAGTTTTTTAAGATTTTTCAAAAATTGTTGTCGTTTTGTGTTGACTACTACTACTACTTTTTAAATTGTATTTCGGTTCTGTACAATTTTTTGTACAAAAACGGTCTGGACTCCGTTTGCCGTTGCCAACACCACAAACGTGCCTCGGCTCGTCGAGCAGTTGCCCCGCAGGAGTCGCAGGATCTACCGAGTGATCTCTGTTGCGAGAAGGCGCTGCCGACTGCAGTCATCGATTTTTAAAATCCAAAACCCCGTAATGCCTTTTCGATTGAACAACGATATGATCCTGTTTTTAAAATCACAACAAAAACCAACACACTAGAACACCAACACCAACACAACGCCCCAGCGTGCCTTTAAGTCTTAAACACTCTAACTAACTAACTAAGCCCTGTGCCTTAAATCTTAATTTGGAAACTCGAGATTGCCAAAAACGAGATTCCATCATGCGTCTTGACAAGTTTTTGAAAAGTAAGTTAACTAACGATTTCTATTAATATATATAGTATTTAGTTTTGGCCAATTTAAGGCTTTTTCTTACCAGAAATCCCCAATAACCAATCCCCAATCCCCCCGCCAATTAATTAGTTTTTCTCACTGGCCAGCCTTGTGGGTCGTAAATTACATCCATTAGCAGCTCAGTGTGACTTCTGGGTAGGAAAGTGGTTGCCAATTAGTGAGAGGCTGTGACTCCACCTCCGATGGCTTTGGGATACCATCTGGATTTGCATTTGGATGGAGGTGCAATCAGTTGTGGGAATTGGGGGAAGTGAAACTCCTAAAAAAGTGCGGTTTCGTGGTGGCCGTGGGCTTAGTTCATCAGCTTCAACTTTATGACTCCTCCACTGGTCTCCACTTCTTCTATAGGGTTCCTCACTAGGATTGGGAGAAATCGTCAAGTTTCCTCATGAGAAATGTGATATTGTTAGCCAGACTTCCAATGTTTGTATTTCTTTGATAGATAGCTTCCAGTCGAGGTCCTTCTAATGTCCTGCATCCATCTCCCTGTCGTCCTTTGTGTTTCCTGCGGATGTTTTATTAGCTTCGTCCAGACGAGCATATAAAGTTAATTGAATCAATAGGTGGTATCGAATTACTCCATAAAGTGGGGTAAGCTATAGGAGAAAGGTACATAAAAAAAAAGGAATTTCTGAAAAGGCCATAAAAAGTGGAAAATACCATAAAAGGACATTTAAGAAACATAGTAGAAGGAGTAGACTTTATTTAATTATATTATTATTCCAACTCCTCCTCAAGTATAAGCTCTGCGCACTGTATCCTGAAACCTGTCGTCCTGCGGCGCAGTGGAGGCTTTTAACCCGCCGCCACATATCAGATTACGCATTGAGGGTCCTGCTGCCACTCTCTTCCTGCTTCTGAAGCTGCGCAGGATTCAGATACTTGGCCAGCTGGCGCCACTCAGGCGCTTTGAAGAAAAAGCCTCCCGAAACCTCTCTTAAAGAGAGGGCGCACATCCATTTTCCAGAGAACCTAAAGAGGGTGCTTTTTCAACGGAGACTGCTGCACCCTTTGACTCTCTCTCTCTCTCTGTTTCTCTGAAAGCACGGCGCAGGCGCTCTTAACTGCCGCTTTCTCGCACTCTCTCCAGCTTTCTCTGGAGGTCTCCTTTTCCACAACTGGCGAAGGGATGCTGACGTCGACGTCGACCAGGCAGCATCCCTCTGCCGCTTCTGTCTCTGCCGCAGAGCTGACTCAGCCTTTCCATTTCCTTCCATCACTTACGTGCCAGATTCCGTGAACAGCAGACGTGCCTCAGCCTTCGCTCCGTCGAACAACAACAATCCTTCCACATCCAGCTCCGGAGAAAGCCGACCACCACATATGCATAATCGCCATATGGAAGAGGCGTCCTGTCCCGTTATAAAAAGTAATTGTTAAAGTGCTACACAGTGTGTGTGTGTGTGTGTGTGTGTGTCGTCTGCCGGAAATTTCAAGTGCTTCCGCTTACAAGCTTCCTCTCTAGCTGGCTCTGGCTCTCTTCGACAAAAAGCAGATAAAAAATGGGCGAACAAAAAAAAAAAAAAACAAAACATTTGTGTAAATTATTGATTTTTGCTTACCAGTGACCATAAAAAAAAAAACTGGTGTATTGTTTGCCAAGTGAACTCTGACACAGTTAGGAGCTTTTCTGGTCGCAGGATCGAATGGCGAAAAAAAAGGGCGACAGAAAATCAATTACGGCCACTTTTGGGGATGGAGAATGTGTGGCATTAGGGGAACTTAACTTGGCTTTCCTTCCAAATCCTAAGCGAATGTCCTCTCTCTCTAATGACACAGCAGATGGACAAGAGGGGGGAGCGACAGGACCAAATGGATTGAATGGCATTCCTACCCCCCCCCCTGGTGGAAACTACAATGGGCTTTTCAGGCTTTGATTTGGCAACTGAAGTGTCCTGAAGCTGCCCTCTCTCTCTGCCCGCCCTCCTCTCAGCGAGTGTCCTGTGTGTGTCTGTGTGTGTTTATGGAGAAGATTTTCATCAGCAATTTTATCGGTCGTCTGCGTTTTGGGTGGTGGCTGCCACCGCCTTTTCCCGGCTATCTCTTCACGCTTCTGGGGGTGGTTTAGGTTTCTGGTCTTTGGTCTCTGGCCTCTGGTTTCTGGTTCCTGGTTTTCAGGTTTTTGGTTTCTGATTTCCAACCTTTTTTCAACACATTAGCCTAAAACTATCTTTAGTACATATTCTAGCCTAAACTAAGACCATTTCTATTCTACCGTTACAGTGCCTTTTGCATTTCGCACATCCTTGGAGCCTAGACCAAGGAAACGACGACGCGGCGGAGGAGAGAAAGTTAAAAGAAGAAGAGGAGGAGGAGTACGAATAACAGGAGTCAAGAAGAAACTCCAACGACGACATCAGGATGTCCACGCTATCGTTGCGCATCCAACTGGAGGGTGGTCGTGTCACCAAGACCATACAGTTCCAGCCCAACACCACAGTCTTCGATGCCTGCAAGATCATCCGCGATAAGTTTGCCGAAGCTGTGCAAGGACAACGTAAGTTAATCCTCAAATAATCCTTAAGAGGGCCAATCCTTTAATGGTGAATCCCCTTCCACAGCCAGCGAATATGGATTGTTCATCTCCGATGAGCAGAACCAACAGGGCGTTTGGCTCGAGGCTGGACGCACTCTGGGCTACTACATCCTGCACAACCAGGACACTCTAGAGTACCGACGAAAGCTGCGCACCCTGCGCGTCCGGATGCTGGATGGGGCTGTCAAGACTATTCTGGTGGACGACTCCCAGCCGGTGTCGCAGCTCATGGTGGTCATCTGCACCAAGATCGGCATCACCAACCACGAGGAGTACGGCCTGGTGCGCGAGGACAACGAGGCCCAGAACGAGAATCTGCCGGACAACAAGTTTGGAACTCTGACCCTCAAGCGCAAGATCATGGAGAAGGATCGCGACGCCAAGATGGAAAGTTTACGCAAGAAACTCAAAACGGATGATGAGAGTAAGTCACCTACTTTTAGTCCTTGAAGAAGGATACTAAAGACTATCTTTTCAGTGAACTGGGTGGATGTGAGTCGCACTTTGAGGGAGCAGGGCATTGACGAAGCAGAGACGGTCCTGCTGCGCCGCAGGTTCTTCTTCTCGGACCAGAACATTGACTCTCGAGATCCTGTCCAACTGAACCTGCTCTATGTTCAAGCCAGGGATGCCATTCTAGATGGCACACATCCTGTGACACAGGAGAAGGGTAAGATTTTTGTCCTCAAGCCCTTAAAGATCCGAGTTTCATTGTGATTTCAATCCTCAGCCTGCGAGTTTGCTGGAATCCAAGTCCACATACAGTTTGGACCCCACAATGAGTCCAAGCACAAGCCGGGATTCTTAGAGTAAGTTGATATGAGACCTCCAAAAGGACCTCTTTTAATCCTTAACTCTCATCAGCTTGAAGGACTTCCTGCCCCAGTCTTATGTCCGTGTAAAGGGCATTGAGAAGAAGGTCTTTCTGGAGCACCGAAGGCACTCTGAGCTTTCCGAGATCGACGCCAAAGTTTTGTACACCAAGACCGCCCGGGAACTGCCCACCTACGGTGTCACCTTCTTCCTCGTCAAGGAGAAGATGAACGGCAAGAACAAGCTAGTGCCGCGTCTGTTGGGTGTCACCAAGGACTCGGTGCTGCGTCTGGACGAGCGCACCAAGGAGATTCTCGTCTCCTGGCCACTGACCACCGTGCGTCGTTGGGGCGCCTCACCGAATACCTTTACCCTAGACTTTGGCGACTATGCCAACCAGTACTACTCGGTGCAAACGACCGAGGCCGAGCAGATTGTCCAGCTCATTGCCGGCTACATCGACATTATACTCAAGAAGAAACAGACCAAGGATCACTTTGGCATTGAGGGTGATGAGGGCTCCACAATGGTGGAGGAATCTGTGGCGCCATCAAAGTGGGTTTTAAAATCTAAATGGGTTGGAAAACTTTATTAAATATGTGTTATATTTTCAGGGCCACCTTCTTGCAACATGAAACCAATCGCGGGGAGCAACTCAATGTGGAGAGTCTGGCTCATCCGGGCATTATGCGTCCTTATGACGGTGAGTTACTAGATATTATCTTTAGTATCTGTAAGATATTATTTTAATTCAGTTCTGTAAAGTTATAAATGTGTTTTATTTAAGAAAGTTAGTCGTGTCTCTTGAAATACGTACTAGAGATTTAAAGCGGAATATATCCGTCAAAAAAATAACCTTATAAAGATAAATATTTAAGCTAGTATCTGTAAAATATATTTTCCTATAAGCTTGATTACTTTTTACTTGCCTTAAGTATGCTAATTTTTATAATTTTGATTTTTTTTGCCACTCCCCTTGCGATTACCGACCCAAGGCGAGCGCTCCTTTACACAGAACGAAGTGCAGACCGTGCAGTATGGCGCCTTCGTTGGCCAGGTGAACCATGCCCATCAGCCGCCAACGGTGAGTTCACTCCGCTCCGACTCCTCCACTCCGACATCCCACACTAACTTTAAACTAACCCCCCACCCACCACTAAAGTTAATCATTATTTCACGCGCTTTTTGATTAAGTTGCCACAGCACATACTCTATTAATCCGAACCTAACTCACAAAGTCCACATCATATAGCCATATAATCCATCCTCATCCGAAGCAAACTAACATCAAGCATTCTCTATAATCCTATCTCCCGACATGCTGCGAATCTCTCAATCAAAAGCATGTGGTCATCCAATGTTTTACAAAGTATGCATACTCCTGGAGAGGATTTATGAGTCCAATTATTAACTATATTGTATTCTGGTGTGTTTCTTTAGACTAAGGAGGTACGGATTAGTTCTGTGAATCTGACGGAGCCACAGCGGGCGCTGCTGGGCTACATTTCCGCCGGCCAGGATGTCTTGATTCGCGCTGACGAGGAGCTGCGCACCAAGGTGAGATTGGAAGTCCTAATTGGGAAAAGGTCAAAGCTAACCAAACCTTTTATCGACCAGGCACCCATCCAGGAGCTGGGCAACGACTTGCGTTCCATTGAGTGGCGCGAAAACACTCTGGACACCTCGAAGCAAGCTGTCAGCAGCCATGTGGCCACCATGAGTGCCGCCACGGCCCAGATCATCACCGCTTCCCAGCCGGATGAAGTGGATACCGAAGCTATCTCCGCATCGGTCTCGCAGATCGCCCAAACCATACCCGAGGTTACGCGGGAGGTTCGTCTGATTGCCGCCCTGATGGAGAACGACTCGAATGGCGACCAGTTACTGGAAGCTGCCCGCAATCTGTGCAATGCCTTCAGCGATCTGTTGAAGGCAGCGGAGCCAGAGAGCAAGGAACCGCCGCAGCACCTCATCAATGCGGCCAGCCGAGTGGGCGAGGCCACCACCCATGTCCTAAGCACCATTGCCGAGGAGGAGGTGCCCGAGAACAGAGATCTGCACGACATGCTCCTGGCTCTGGCCAAGGCAGTGGCCAACACCACGGCTGCCTTAGTCCTGCGGGCCAAGAACATTGCTGCCAGCTGCGAGGACGAGCAGGCCAGGAACCGGGTGATCGGTGCGGCCAGCCAGTGTGCCCTGGCTACTAGTCAACTGGTGGCCTGTGCCAAGGTGGTGGCTCCCACGCTCCATAATGCTGCCTGCAGGGAGCAACTTGAGGCGGCAGCCCGTAACGTGGCTAGGGCCGTGAACTCGCTGTGCGAGGTGTGCAACGAGGCCAGCGCGGATCCCAAGCTGAAGGCCGATCTCCTGGCCGCTGCCCGAGATGTGTCCAAGAGCCTTACGGACATGCTGGAACACGTAAAGCTGAGCACTCGGGAGCAGGCCAACCGCACCAGCACCGAACTGAGTCCCGTGGAGAACGTGATCATCGGAACCGATATCCTGGTGTCCACCCACGACCCCCAGGAGATGGTGCGTCATGCCAGGACCCTGGGACAGACCACCGCCCAACTTATCCAGAGCATCAAGGGTGAGGCGGATCAGCAGGAGGATGCCGATATGCAGAGGCGTCTGCTCTCCGCCGCTAAGCAACTGGCGGATGCCACTGCCAAGCTGGTGGAGGCTGCCCGTCTCTGCTCCTCCAATCCCAATGTCCCGGAAAACCAGAACGCCCTCCGTCGGGCCGCAGAGGAGCTGAGGGAGATTACCACCACGGCTGCGAATACGCCGGCAATGAAGCGTTCGCTGATCCAGCGACTGGAGTTCTGCTCCAAGCAGGCTGCCTCGGCGGCGACGCAGTGCATCTCGGCCGCCCAGAACGCAGTGCAGCACAGCCAGGACCACCAGACCAAGGAGACGCTGCTGCAGGACTGCAAGCGAGTGGCGGACACCATCCCGCGCCTGGTGACTTCGCTGAAGACCACGCGCGCCCAGCCGGATGAGCCAAATGCCCAGCTGAACCTTATCGAGGCGGCGGAGCAGTTCATTGAGCCCGCTCTCCAGGTCTCCAAGTCTTCGAGAGCCCTGCAGCCCACGGTTACGGATATTCCTTCAGCCACGCAGCTCTCCAAGGGCGCCTTGCACCTGGGACAGTGTGTCTCGGAGCTGCACTCGGTCGCCCAGAGGGCCCGCGACGCCTGCGGTGGCCAGGAGCTGGAGTCGGCGCTGGAAGAGGTGCGCAAGCTGCATGATGTGCTGGATGATACCCGGCAAGCCGCCTTGGCAGGACAGCTGCTGCCGCTGCCAGGACAAACGGTGGAGAACACCGCGGACGAGCTGAGAAAGTCCGCCAAGAATGTTGGCATCGCCCTCAGCCAGCTACTCTCCTCCGTGCTGCACAACCAGAGGAGCTATGCCGGAGCAGCTGGCAGGGACACGGCTCTGGCCCTGGGTGACTTCACCAAGAGCGTTCACGGAGTGGCGGCCACCACCCAGAACCCGGCGATCATCGATTGTGCCGACGATGTGGTCACCAGCTCGGCGCGACTCATCGAACAGGCTCAGCGCACCTTGCAGGGGGCAGCCAATCCGGATGCCCTCACCCAGGCAGGAAGGGAGGTCACCGGTGCCCTGTCCGCAGCTGTGGATTGCATTCCCGGCCAGCGTGAAGTGGACGTGGCTCTGAGGAATGTGAGCGATCTCAGCGAGATTCTGAGCTCCATGAGCGACTTCCCACCATCTTCCCGTCCCTACGCCACTCTGCAGACGGAGCTCAAGCAGGTGGCCGAGCAGCTGAGCAGCTCTGGTGGCCAGATAGTGGTCTCCTATGCTTCCCCAGCCCTGCTGGCCGACAGCAGCCAGAACTTCGCGGCCAACTACAGGGACTTGCTAGCCGTGAGCATGGAGATGGCTGGTCAGACCCAGGAGGAGCCGGTGCGCTCCCAGATCATCGAGTGCCTGCGTCACGTTTCCACTCAGTCGTGTTCTCTGCTCTCGACTGCCAAGTCCATTGCCGCCGATCCCGGCCAGCCGAATGCCAAGAACCTGCTGCATGCCGCCGCCCGAGGAGTCACCGAGAGCATCAACCAGTTGGTGGACGCCAGCATCCAGTCCGCCCCGGGTCAGAAGGAGTGCGACAATGCTATGCGCAACATCGAGGCACTGCGTCTGATGCTGGACTATCCCCACGAGCCGATCAACGAGCTGGGATACTTTGATTGCGTGGAGCAGGCCACCGGCAAGTCCAGGAACCTGGGCTACGCCATCTCGGAGATGATCAACAATGCCAAGCAGTCGCAGCACGTGGAGTTCAGCCAGTCGGTGAACAACGTCAACGATTCCATCCAGGGGCTGATTGAGAGCTCCTCGCAGGCGGCCTATCTCATCGGGGTCTCGCATCCTTCTAGTGTGGCCGGCCGACCCGGAATCATCGACCAGGCGCAGCTCACCTGGGCCTACCAAGGCATCCGCCAACACTGCGACATCGTTTCCAGCCAGCAGTCCACCAAGCCGCAGATGATCACCGCCCTCACCATCATCGCCAAGCACACGAGCTACCTGTGCTCCATCTGCCGCCAGGCCTCGATGAACACCTCCAACCCGGTGGCCAAGAACGAGTTCATCGTCCTGGCCAAGCAGGTGGCCACCGCCACCTCGGACCTGGTGCAAGCCATCAAGGGTATCGAGGAGCTGCCGGTTAACGCTAGCCGCGAGCGGCTGGTGGAACCTCTCCTGGAAGCCGTCAAGGCTGTTCGTCAGTACGCCTCCAGTCCGGAGTTCAGCTCCGTTCCGGCCAAGATCTCGGCCGAGGGCAGGAAGGCCCAGGAGCCGGTTATCCAAGCCGGACGCGGAGTCATCGACGGTGTTGTGGAGATGGTCAAGGCGGCCAAGTCTCTGGCCCTGCAACCGGACAACCCACCCGTCTGGCAGCAGCTCTCGATGCACTCGACTCCAGTGTCGGAGTCCGTGAAGCGGCTGGTGGACAACATTCGGGACAAGGCCCCGGGACAGGCCCAGTGCGAACAGGTGCTCCACACTCTGGGCACCTGCACTCGCGAACTGGACAGCTGTGCTCTGGCAGTGAACGCCCAGGGACTCAGCCAGCGGCGGGACAACAATCTCCACGGATTCAGTGGCCAGACCATGAACTCGGCCTCCGAGCTGATCGACAAGCTGGAGCCCATCCGGGTGGCGGGCAAGAACAACGCCGAGCAGCTGGGCCATGCCGTCGGCGAGATCTCGCGGTATGTGGTGCCCATGGTGAATGGAGCCATCGGCGCCTGCACCCACATCGTGCACAGCCAGCAGCAGATGTCGCTGATCCAGCAGACCCGGTCGGTGGTGGAGAGTGCCGTTACCCTGGTGCAGGCTGCCAAGGACTCTGCCGGCAATCCCAGAGCCACCCACGCCCATCCCAAGCTGGACGATGCCATTGACGGAACCCGGGAGGCCATTCAGGAACTGCAGCAGACCGTGGAGAAGATCAACGCAGAGACGGGCATTGTGACCGGACTCATGGAGCAGGTGAACCGATCCATCACTCGGCTGACGGACAAGCGTCAGTCCCTGCTGAACGCCTCCTACTCGGACACGTTCGTGGACTACCAGACCCGCATGGTGGCCCGGGCCAAGGAGATCGCCAGTCTGGCCAACGAAATCAATGCCAAGTGCAGCGTGGAGCCGGCGGCTCTGCCCCAGCTGTCGGTGGACATGACCCAGCACTACCAGCAGCTGACTCAGGACTCGGTGGGCGCCAGCACCACCACCACCTCGCCCGACGTGGCCATGCGCATCCGCACCACGGTCATCGACTTGGGTCGCTCTGTCAGCTCCATGATTTCGTCCTCGGCAGGAGGAGCCCGTCCGGATGATGTTCGCACCCAGAAGGAGATTGCCCGCAACGCCCGTGAGGTCTCCGAGAAGGTGGCCCAGGTGCTGGCTGCCCTGCAAGCGGGCTCCCGCGGCACCCAGGCCTGCATCAATGCCGCCCACACGGTTTCGGGTATCATTGGAGATCTGGACACGACCATCATGTTTGCCACCGCCGGAACCCTTCACTCGGACGGAGATGGCAGCTTTGCGGATCACCGCGAGCACATCCTGCAGACGGCAAAGGCTTTGGTGGAGGACACCAAGGTGCTGGTCACAGGAGCAGCGGGAACACAGGATCAGCTGGCCAGCGCTGCCCAGAATGCAGTGTCCACTATAAGTGAGTAAAGGATGGTGACTTCTGGACTATTTTAAGGTACTAACCTATCCTTTTTGTCATCCTCAGCTCAACTGGCAGAGGCAGTGAAGCGCGGAGCCTGCTCTCTGGGCTCCTCCCAGCCGGACTCCCAGGTGATGGTCATCAACGCCGTCAAGGATGTGGCCTCCGCTCTGGGGGATTTGATAAACTGCACCAAGGCGGCCTCTGGCAAGTCCATCAACGATCCTTCCATGCAGGATCTCAAGGAGAGCGCCAGGGTAAGTTCGATTCTCGCACTCTTCTCCCCTGTCTCTCCTTTTCTCTTTCTCTCTCTCTGACTTTCTCTTACCGTAGTTTTTTTTAATCTCTTGCTAAATAGCTTTCGTTGTTGTGGCTTTAAGTATATTCCGTTTAAGTTTTAATGATTAAATATTTAAAATTAAAGATTCATTTAAACGGACTCTACTCCTTAAGTTTATTTTCTCCTCACTCACCAGATTGTAACTGACTTTACGTGGTTATGGTTTGCTTTTAAGTTTCATTTCTGGGTTTATAGACCGGACTTCTGGAGGACCGGACCTGAAACAGAGTTAGGATCATTATTTTATTATCCTCCATGCAAGATATGTAACGCGCATACATAAATGTTGTTTGTGGCATATTTGAAACTCGACATAAATAAACATCAAATGGCTTTGGCACTCATCTACCTGAACAATAATAATAATAATAATAATAATAAAAGGTTCTACAAGCACTCTACCCACCCACATAAATGTATCTCTCTCTCTCTCTATGTGTATATATATTTAACCCGATTTTTGTCCACTGCTCCTGCTGCCTGATTCTGATTTTGTTTTCCAAGTATTTAAAAAAAAAACAAAGGATGCGATATCCTGTTGGCCTCAAAAAGCTTTCGCTGCTGCTCCTGCTCCTGCTCTGCTCTTTGTTGTACTTCCTTTTTAATGTTATTAATGTTATCAATGTTTGTAACAGAACGCACCCACAAAAAGCCCACTACTTGCATTATTTCCCCGAGGCATCGCCACCATCAGCGGCAGCTACCCAACCACCCTTGTCCAGATTTAATACCATCCCCTTCCTGGATTTGCCTTGCAACCGTGCTGTGTTGTGCTGTGCTGTGCTGTGCTGGCTGCGCTCTCTTAATCACTGAGGCACCACCCCCCAACCACCCACCCTTTCCGTTACACCCACCCTTCCTGTGATACCCAACCCAACCATCCACCACTTTCCTCCAAACGTTTGTACAAAAAAAAAAAGAAAAACTCAAATGGGAAAATCCATAAATTGATGTATTTTTTCGTTTTGCTAATTCGTTGTGCCTTCGGCGTGTCTGCTCTTCTTTTTTATTCCACAAAAATCAAACAAAAATCCAAAAAAAAAACCACATATGCTCATGAACTGTACAAAAATGCAAAATCGCTCCTACTCCTTCTCTTCATGCGCTGCGCTCGCTCTGGAATCAAAAATATCCAAAATTCAAAATCGATATCAAAAATCTTCATTCATCCCGCATACACATCCGCATATCTGATATCCGTATGTACAAATATCGAAAATCGAGCAGACGCTTCAAGATGTTTGCCAGGCAGCTGTCCACAATGGCCGCAATTCAGAAACTAACCCACTCAGAAACTCAGACTCCATCCGGCCATCCAGCAGCGGCCATCGCATCCTCCTCTGCAGCAACAGTAGCAGCAGCAGCATCGAAATCCATCCGGGCAATGGGAACTGAGAGTACGGAGTAGTGCCACAACCTCCCCCCGCCCGACACAATTAGATCGCCACTTGAGAAACTTTTGTAAGGGAACCTTCAAGTGACGGAGGGTGGAGTTTTTTTTTATATTTAAAGCAAGTTACTAAATTTTAAACAATTCTTGACAACCCACCCAGTCCTTGGAAGTTCTCAGTTTTGTCTTCTTGTCCTTGTTATTCAGTCATTATTTTTCAAAACTAATTCTTATTAATTAATTATGCATTAAATAAAAAAGAAAACTATCAGTTGACTTTGTTTTAGTTTTAAATATTGATTTGTAAGAGTGTGCCAAAGCCATTTAGAATGTCGTAGTTGTAGTCGTAGAAAGTATCATGTTTAGACGTCCAAGTAGTTGGTAGCTCTAGAAATTCTATATATTCTTAAGACTCTTTCTAAAACATCCATGATTCTCTAAAACCCACTCATTAATATCATTCGTTTCTGCTCTGCCTCCCCGAAAATCTATTACACCTTCCACCAAAATAGGTAATGGTCCTGAATGTGTCCTCGCTGCTGAAGACCGTCAAGGCTGTGGAGGATGAGCATACCCGTGGCACTAGGGCCATGGAGGCTACTGTCGAGGCCATTTCACAGGAGATTCGGGTGAGTCTTCAAACTCCAACAACTAAACATTCCAAATACTAACTCTTGAAACCCATTACAGGCTATGCACACTCCTCCGCCAGTGGGCAGCCCTCAGGTGAACCCTGAGGACCTCATCCGCGTGACCATGAACGTGACCGCCGCCACTGCCAAGGCTGTGGCTGCCGGAGCCTCCAATCTGCAGGCTGATATTGTGGCTGCCGCCAATCTGGGACGCCGTGCCATCTCCGACATGCTGATTGTTTGCCGCTCTGTGGCCTGGAACTGTGCCGAAACGGAGGAGCTGCGTGTCCGCACCCTTGAGGCGGGAACTGCTGTGGGCGAATCCTACAGGGACCTGCTCAACGGCATCCTTCACAACTGCAGTGCCGACGATCGTATGCATCTGTCACGCCGCGTGGCCAAGTGTGTTACCGATCTGGTGGCCATGGCCAGGCTGCTGAAGGGCTCCGATTGGATTGATCCCGAGGATCCCACAGTGATTGCCGAGAACGAGCTGCTGGGAGCAGCTGCCTCCATCGATGCTGCTGCCAAGAAGTTGGCTTCCTTGAGGCCACGTCGCCAGGCGGATGTTAAGGTAGGATGTGATCCCTAACTGGTAGGCTTAAGTGGTGAATGAAAACGCAAACTAACTGAACCGAAACTCATCCTAGTCTGTAAGAAGGTGCTTGATTCAATCCTAACTCGCCCTCTCGAAACCAAACTAATTGAGGCTTCCAGTGAGATATGTTTGATATTCTTGGTTGTTTCATTCAAAAGTTCACCCAGGAATCAAACATATTATTACTGTGACCCTCGCCAATCTACTAAACTACATAGCTTGCGACCTCCAACTAAACAAAAAAGCAACCACCGGTGATTGTCCTTTAATTTTATGAATATTCTTGCCAAGATTGTCAAATACTAATCCCTGCTTTTCTTGTCACACAGATCGAGCTCGACGAGAACATGAAATTCGACGAGATGATCCTGGAAGCAGCCAAGGGCATCATGGCCGCCTCGGCCGCTTTAGTACGCGCCGCCAACGCCGCCCAGCGAGAGCTCATTGACCAGGGCAAGGTCGCCCGCCGTCCTCTGACCAGCTCCGATGACGGCCAGTGGTCCGAGGGACTCATCTCGGCCGCCCGCCTGGTGGCCGCTGCCACGCACAGCCTTGTGGAGGCCGCCCAGAATCTGGTGCGCGGTGTGGGCACCGAGGAGATGCTCATCTCCACCGCCAAGCAGGTGGCCGCCTCGACGGCACAGCTACTGATTGCCTGCAAGGTCAAGTCCAATCCCAACTCGGAGGCCGGACGTCGCCTGCAAGCAGCTGGAAATGCGGTGATCAAGTCTACAGACAACCTGGTGCACGCTGCCCAGCAGGGACTCGAAGCCGAGGAGGAGCACTCCCTGAAGATCAACACGTCCATGGTGGACGGCATGGCGCAGGAGATCAACGCTAGGTCAGCCGTACTGCGCAAGGAGAAGGAGCTGGAGGAGGCACGTCAGCGGCTGAAGCACGTGCGACAGGCACAGCGCTACGCGAAGAACGCGCAGGGATTCACCACCGACGAGAGCGACACGGAGTACGCCTATGGAACACTCAACAAGAGCCAGAACAATGTATGAAGACACCCCTCCCTGCTTTTTCCCAACTTTCGACTTTGTTTTAGATTTTGTTTTAGTTTTGTGAGCGCACTTTGAGCGAATGAAATTGGCATTGAGATCGATGGCAAAAACGAGGCACCAATTTGTAGTCTAAGTAGTTCATTTAACTTGGTGGAAGTGGGGCTTAGCCAGGCTAACACGTAACCAGTCTAACCAGGAGCATTTCTCTTCTCTCTCTTCCTCTCTTCTAACCCGTAACCCTAACAGACACTGGGTCGCAGCGGGGCTTACTACGGATCCACGGGCGAGGTGCCCAGCTCGCCGAGCTACTACTCCTCCGGGGGACAGCAGAAGCATCACTACACCTACGCCAGTCCACAGAACCAGCACTTCCATCATCCGGGTGCAGTGTCACCGCCGCCGGCCAACTATCCGACACTAGACGATGCCAATGGAGCGGACTTCCCGCCGCCACCACCGCCCCTGTCCACGACCATTTCTAACATGCAGACCGCCACGGCGGGCCACTCCTCGTTCCGCCCTAATCCCAAGCTAACAGCCAACGCCGTGCCCCGGCCCTACCCCGGCAGTCCGGGGGGCAGCAATGGCCTAACCTCAGCACAGAACCTAGCCGCCACCACACCCACTAACAGCAACAACTACCAGCACAGCTTTGAGTCGACTAGCATTAAAACGCAAAACTCCTCTCCGCCGGCGGTGCCCCAGAAGCCAGTCAACCGAAACCTGGAGGCCTGTGTGCAGGACCTTCACGACAAGACCTTCGGCCAGGGCGGTGTGGTGCAGCTGACCACAGGTGGTAATGGCTATCCGGGCCAGAACTACGAGGGCTACACCTCCAGGTGGGTTCTGAAAGGGATGTCCTTCCGGAGCAATGCTGATCATTTCATTCTTCCAATTCCAGCAGATACGAGACGCGCAACTTTGACAAATCCAGCGGCAACAACACGATCAGCAGCAGCAGTGAGCTGGGAGTGGTGAAGCCGCTGGAGTCCAGCTTCTCGCAGATGACCCTCAACACGGACGGGGGAAAGATCAGCATTGTGGACCAGCAGGGTTCGGAGCGCCTTACCTCGATGACACAGCGGGTGATGGAGCGCAAGTCCTTCACCACGACAACGGAATCCCGCTCGGAAACGAAGACGGAGAAGCATAGTTTTCGATTGGAATAATCCCCGAATCGGAGGAGATGCTTTAGTTGCCTAAGTACATGTTCTAGCTTGGTGTGAGGCGAGATGTGGATGTTTTGCCAAAAGTGCTTTTAACATTTGAACACTCCCCCGAACACCACAAACCCACACCCCACATATACACATACTAATAGAATTACTTTAATATTAATTATAAAATTAGCCACTAGCGAAACTACTTCTATATATGCCTCTATCCTTGTAATCAGCCTAATATTAACAAAATCAGCTTATATTGCTATTCGACTTTCGATGTGTTTTGTGTTTTTCGTAAATCTGCCATTTAATTGCCAATCTGAAAGCGAATATTTTCTTAAATTCAACGAAATTACACAATTAACCCATTAATAATCGTGACATTTACTGAATTGGTTTCTCCACCTTGTTGTTATTTCTTCGATGCAATTTATTACTGTGCACTAAAAATAAAACTAAATATTATTATTTCCTAACGCCAAGGACATCTATGTTCTTCAGTTGTGAACTCTATATACGTTGTAATCATATAATTTTTTGATTTCCCTCTTTTTGTATATACGTAGTACGTACATGTGCGAGTCGTGTATGCAGTTGAATATTTAAATTGTGTACTTTTTGTAAATTAATAAAATAAAAACCATATTTTAACAAGATCTGTCTATTTCGTTTTATTAAGGCACACATATATTATACAAACATGGAAACAACATACATACGATTATAGATTTTAGAAATCTTTTCAAAAATAAATGCAACTTTTAGTCTGTCAGGTCGGGGAGTTAATCCCTTAAATTCCACAGTAGTCCTTGCGTAAATGCAGTTCTGGCTCATTAGATTCCTCAGAGATAATCACTTGTATTCCTGGTTCAGCTGGCGACCAATCAACCACCTTCTGATCTCCGAGGTGCCGGCTCCGATCTCGTACAGCTTGGCGTCTCTCAAAATGCGTCCGGTGGGATTCTCGTTGATGTAGCCATTGCCACCCAAAATCTGAATGGCATCCAGAGCCACCTTCGTGGCCTTCTCGGCAGTGTAGAGGATAACCCCAGCGCAGTCCTTGGGGCTGCGATTGCCAGCGTCACAGGACCTGGCCACGGTGTACAGATAGCTCCTGCAGGCACTTAGGGTGGTATACATATCGGCCATCTTGCCTTGAAGTAGTTGGAACTCGCCAATGAGCTGGTTCATCTGCTTGCGCTGATGGGCGTAATCGAAGGCTACGTCGCAAGCAGCCTGCATTAGTCCAACGGGTCCAGCGGCCAGCACCAGGCGTTCAAAGTCCAATCCGGACATTAGCACATAAACGCCCTTGTTCTCCTGGCCCAGGATGTTCTTGGCAGGGACTTTCAGGTCCTGGAAGACCAGCTCACAGGTGCTGCTGCCTCGCATGCCAAGCTTATCCAGTTTTTGGGCCACACTGAAGCCCTCCCAAGCGGTCTCCACGATAAAAGCCGTAATGGAATGCTTGTTCGGGACATCACTGCTTCCCGTTTTGGCATAGACAATCAAAGTGTCGGCGTCCGATCCATTGGTAATCCAAAACTTGGATCCATTAAGAACATAATAGTCGCCTTTCCGCTCAGCACGCAGTTTCATGGACACCACATCGGATCCGGCACCTGGCTCGGACATGGCCAGTCCACCAACGTGCTCCCCGCTGCACAGCTTGGGCAGATACTTCTCCTTCTGCTCCGGAGTGCCATTCTTGGTCAACTGGTTAATGCAGAGGTTAGAATGGGCTCCGTAGGACAGGGCCACGCCACCAGCAGCTCTGGGAAAGCAATAGTTTGTAAATGAGAGGATTTTTAGAAGAAATTTGTAACAATTACCTTGAGAACTCCTCCATAATGATGCAATGATCGAGGTAGGAGCCTCCAGTGCCTCCAAAGTCCGGCTCAGCAGTGATTCCCAGGAAGCCCAGGTCACCCAGTTTCTTCCAGAAGGGGCGCATATCCCTAACGAAAAAGATTTTATTTATAAATATTTTAAGATCATATATCCTTTACCTACTTGAAGTTATCTAGCTTGTCTATCTCCTTAGCCAGAGGCGCCAGTTCCTTCTGGAAGAAGTTAAAGGCCACTTCCCTCAGCTTCTGGCGATCCTCATCCAATCCAAACATGGCATCGTTAACGGGATAGTGGGCCAGGGTTCGGGTCCATAATGAAGCAGGATCGCTGCGAAGCAGGGATCGGCAGGACTTGGCCACAAATCTCAGAGCCATGTTGATCCTCGGTTTACCAGGTGGTTTTAGCCGTTATCTAACCACCAGCGATGGTGTTTTTTTTAGCGGTTTTATGGCTGTTTTTGAGAGGGAAGTTTAAACCTAAGTAACACTATTGAAGGATATGGATATATTTATGAAAGATTACAAGGGATTAGATACATAATATTCATTGCATTATTGGGCCAAAAGTAATAGTTTTATTAGCCAAGTATTTGTTTTGGCTATTTTTGAGGATCAGCTGTTTTTACTCGCTCTTTCTGGGAGATAACGAATGATAAGTAGCGTTGCCAGAATGGGATCGTTAAGCCAAAAAAAAATATGGCAGCGCTCTACTAACGGTGGCTTTTTTGAATTTGTTCCTTTGCAGAGTCTTGAAGAAAAACTAATTACCAGTTTTCTAGAGCTTAAACTTTCTTTATTTCTTGGTATATAATTTAAATTACATTTTAAAAGTTCCCGCCCAATAAACATTTTTAACGGCGCATGACTCTTCAACGGCACTCGAACAGTAGGGCCAAAAAGTATACGAACGCCTTGGGAAAAAGCCAATCTGTTAGCTCCTAAAAGTGCATATTCGGCCGAAAAGGATTACAATTCTCCTCTCCTTGCATTTACAGTGCGCAGGACACACCAATGGCAGATGAGCCGTGGATATGAAATGCCGGGAGAAACGCCGACATCAACAATAACAACAACCAAGTCAACAGCCAGGACAATATAGCAACAACAGAGTCTAGAGAGCGAACTGGCCATGGCAGGCTAGGCCAGGACAGTGCAGGCGCAGGGATAAACATAAACACTGAGCCCACGGCGGAAGCAGTCTGCTAAATGGAATTAAAAACGCGGCGTCGACCGAGCCCAAAAGCCATCCAATCATCAGTTCCGCGTTTGGTGCCGCACAGCAGAGATCCGTTCGTCCTGCCCGTCCAGGACACGGTTACGGTTACGGTTACTGTTACGGTTGCGATTACGGATGCGTATGCGGATGTGCACCTGCTGCTAAAATGATAATTAATTGATTGAACGGGAGGGCCAGAGCAGGGGCCACCAGTTTGCAAGTGTGTTTAGAAAAGTAAGCTACCGGGTTGCCCAAGTGATTGAACCACAATTCGGCAGGCAAATCGATAAATGTCCCTGCGAGGCACACTCATAAATAAGTCGTCCTGCCAGTGCCGATGTCGTCCTCCAGCTGGCAGGTGGAGCAGCTCACGTGTGTGCGTTTGATTAATACCATGTAGTGTTGCCGGCGAACGTTGTTACCGATTCAATACCTAAAAAAGAAGGAGTCCCTAAGCTCCGCCCGCGGTATCCGCCCGGAAACTCACGCTCCTTTTGAAACCCATTGTCGCTATCGTTACTCCTGCCACTCCTGTTACTCCTGCTTTTGTCGTCGTCTATATATCCTGTCAATCAACTCAATGAGGACGCAGCTCGTATTGTAGGTACCACCTTCAAAGGACACGTTTCCTTGGATCCGTTTGTTTGCTGTTGTTGTTGCTGTTGTGTCATGCACGCTTTCAATGTAGTATAGATGTGCTTTATAGCTACATAGTTTGTTTTTAATTACGGGTTCGAAATCATCCTGGTCTGAATTGCACCTGCACACAGAGCTCAAAGGTCAAACTGTCAAGCTGTCTTGGTTTTTGGGCCGAAAATGGTTTTGGTAATGCCAAATTAATGACTTGTTTCCTAGCTGATTAATCTGCGACAGCCGGAAGCTTTGCAATTCCAAAGTGGGCTAGATTGGTGACCCAAAAGAAAGTGTCGTGACTTGGGATTTTTTGGGTGTTTTTATCAGATAACCCCTATTTGTTATTTAAAAGTCTTGAAAAGCTGTTGGAAGTTTTTAAAGACGTTGTACTTTTTGAAAAGAAAACCTATATCTTAGTTCCTTAATGATTGATATTTTAAGCCTCTGGATAAGTACTTGATACCACCTGACATTTTATAAGAAATAAGCAAACTTTTATCGGAATATTTTGATGTTTTTGTTTACCTCATTAAAGTTGATAAGAAAACCTTCAGTTTTTATAAAAAAAAAGGTGACATTGTACTGTAATTATTATGGGGTCTGCATTATGCGCATTATTTATGTAATCAAGTTAACCATTCCATTCGTTTTAGCCGCCTCCCAACTTTCGCGGCAATTAAATGCCGCCCTGGTCTATAAACAGATCCCATTGTCAGTGTCTGTTGCAGCATTCTTGGGATATTTGTTTGGCTGCTGCCAGCCGCTCTTAATGCCAAGTGGAATGAACTTGATGAGCAGCAGTTGCCACTTTTGTGTTGGGCCTAAGTACGCCACAAATGCATTGCTGATGAGGGCGCAAGGGGCAGTGGCGTGTGGCAGGCTGGGAGGCAACAACTCGAGTCCGTAGAGCTGATGTAGTGTGGCAATTGAACTCGACAGCCTGGATTCCGGGCAGCCGGGCAGTCGGGGTGTGCATCCTCATAAACATGAGCCTGAATCTGAAATACAAAACATGCAATCTGTCGGCTCAACAACTTGAACTTGTCGCGTCCACTGGAGAAAACTTTTGCTGAACTTTCCGTTTTATAATCCCAGAGATGGCATAAGCTCTTGGCCACTTTGCTTTCAGTTATGGACCAGAGGAGGGTCTGCTGGGACCTGTTGGGGGAGTTGGCCAGTTTAATGACTAAATTTTGCAATTTCAAGTGCTCTGAATATCACAATCTCAAGTGCCTTAAGGTTGGTCGTGGTTGGTAGTACAATTTCCATCTTTTTCAGAAAGTTCAATAACACTTTTAACGAAAATTCTCAAATAAAACCAAACACCCTTCAATCGATTTGCCTGTAAAATCAATCTAGCTGGCAATCAACCAACTCAATATAGAAATATCTAAAAATATCTTACCCAAAGGCAAAATAATTTGTGATAAGCAAGTGCATTTCGTGCGGGTAATTAAAGGCCGGACCCAGAACCGGAGAAACGCTCCGAAAATACACAATATTATGTATTTTCCAACTTGGAGAACACGGAAAGAGCGGTGGTGACAATATTAAAACACCGCAAGCACCACTTGGGTCTCCGGGGTCCAAAAGTGGAGAAACCGTAAGGCAGAAAGCTCTCAGCTAGCCATCTCCGACATCTGACAGAGCGGTTTTTGGTTTTGGTTTGGGTTTAGTCGGCATTAGTCGGCAAACGATCGACGATCGACGACATCGACAAACGACGACTAAAAAAACGACGACGTCGCATGGACTGCGATTCTGCGGACTCCGTGCGCGATTTTCATTCAGTTTTCACTTAACTTTCCGCTCAGTTCTAAACTTACCCATACTACACAGGTGTATGTAGTGTCGAAATCCCAACCTCTGTACTACTATACCGCCATATCTCGGGGGAGAGACCATATCTCCGAACTGCCCGGCAATCGGGCGGCAGTCAGTCCAGCGGAGAAGCTCGCTGGAAACTCATCATTACCCGTAATAATCGTAAATGTCAGTTACTGGGCTGGTCGCTGTCGCGTCGCCGTCACGTAATGCCCATTCAATTTAATTTCATAATTAATATTTTTTGGAAAACTACAAAAGTGTCACCAGTTTTTCTCTGATTTTTTGGCAAGTAAGGAATATTCCCGTCGAGTGAAAAGTGTGCTTTCAAGTGTGTGTATTAAATTAAATCACCGCATTATAAATAACTTGGGCAAAAAAAAAATTTTAAATCTAAAATATATTCAGATGCCAGATAGATATATAAATATATATACCTAAAGTATATATCTGCAAGCCCCAACGCGCCAAGTAATCGAAGCGACAAAAAATACGTAAAAAGTGAAATTGTGTGTGTGTTTGGCAAATGTCACTAGTGTGTGCGTCACTGAAGATGAACCACGAGAGCACATAAAAAAGAAGGCGCACACACTTGCGACTGCCACAAAAATATATATACAAAAATATATATTATTCTATTTACGCGCGTGTCTTGTAGCCAAAAAGTAAATCTCGTCGAGGAGCCACCGCAAAATGGAGTCCAACAAACGCTCGAAAAAAGGACGCAAATCGCGTACAGGACCCGCTGACAACACTCAGAACGAACAGCATCATCCATGGGACGAAGGTAGGTCTAAGGTCAACCCATAACAAGAAAGAACTGCAGTTTTGCATTTATTTTTTGCATTCTGCCCCATAAATTAGCCGCGCATTACGCATACGCCGCGTGGGCGCATCGCTTGTAATGACAGTCGTTGACGAATTTAGAACAGGGTGGAGGATATACAGTATATAGGGGGCTATACAACATTACTTATGACTGTCTGCCAAGTTGAACAGCAGCCAAAAACTATGACTATGACAAGTTTTGTATGTTTTGGCGCCCCGCAGCGGAAAATCGGTTTCCCAATTATACTCGTACTATACCATATAGACGGGCATGCACAATTCCGAATTGTGACTTTTCGAGTTCCCAGACGCGGTCTGAACGGAAATCGGCAATCAACTGCAGTGGCCCATTGGGGTATTACTAAATAATAGGGTATATTAACTATGTCAGGGGAAAACTTTTAATTATTCCGAACACCACTTTAGATCTTTAGCATTCTTGAACTTAATATCTTAACATCTTTTTAATGGAATTCAGATATTGAGTAATGAACAAAATCTTCCATTACAAAACAATATATTTTCCTGAGTAACATTCAAAATATTCAAAAACTAATTCATTCACATTTCAACACCATCCATTATGTTTTCTTCCCCAACGCCTTGTAAAAAATTCTTGACCTTCGCAAGAGTATAAAAAGTTCTATATAAGAAAATGAATTTTGGAATCTTGAGAATCGCTTGGCATTCAGAGATGTAAGCAGACCAACGAACTGACTTTGTTAGCGGAATCTTCTATTTCCCAAGCACTATGCCTCTGGGCTGTGTGTGAATTGAATAACCGGTTATGGATATGGTAGACCCGTTGGTAGTACTCTGTTTAAATACCGTTTGGATGCATCTATCATGATTTAAATTAGCCGGAGAATATACATGATCTATGGGACAGTTTTCCGCTTTTCTGACTGTTGAAAGTGAAAAGACTATGTCGTATTCTCCCCAAACAACAAAAGCTATCGCAACCTATTCAAATTCCCGTTGCCAGACGGTCATTCAAAAAACAAAAAGGGGGCTTATCAAGTGCGGATTGCAGTGTTCTGATTGCCACTTGAAAGGGGCAATTAAAAGCAGCAAAGGCTAAATAAAAATAAAATATATAATGGAAACAATTCCAAGTGTCCAAGTCCAAGTTTTCTGCATGGGACACTGGGATCAGAGCACGTAGGCCTTTCATCTAGCGTCATAAGGTCATATGATGGGGTCTTAAACATATGGTTTACCTATCTTATCGCCTAAAAATGGGTGCCTGACTTTATCTACTCGGCTCGCCGATAAGTTGGGAAATTATTACGTAAAAGCACTTAGTTATGACGCCAACCTTTGCTTTTGGAGAGGGGCTGGGAAACTCTAAAACAATTTAAATAATTATTAAAATGCTTGTCATTAAAAAAAGTGCCAAGTACTAGTTGTTAAGTAAACATAAAAACTTCCAGGTTATCATTAACGTTTCTACTTGCATTCATTCATCTATGAAGTCAACTGCTAAGAATAGTTTATTATATTAGAATCATAAATCAATAGCCACCAAGCTCTCCGCACTTATGTTCATATTTCCAGTTGCATTTATATAATTTATTGTTAACTCTCCTCGTAGAAATGTAGTAGTTTCCTGTTAAGTGAACGTGCTAAAAGGTTTAACCCAAAAAAACTTCTAGTTACCATAGTCCACGGAACATTTCGCCCATTTTGAAGCTGGATGATTCAGTCTAGGTGAAAATTGCTGGTAATTGAAAGAGTAGCAGCCGCAAAAACTGGTAGTCTGATTGATTACCAATTAGCAGCAAATCCCATCCCATCACATGAGCAAAAACCGATTGACGACCGACCATCTATTTTTTTCTAAAGCAAACTTTGACCTTATTTCAGGACAAGCACAGAGAGCAATTCCCAGCACGGGCACAGCACTGACCCGATTCCTGACCTGTATGGCACCTGTGATTGGTAAAAAATCAAAGAATAAAATAAAAATAGAAGAAAGTCTCGTATAGTCCCGTCTCTTTGCTGTTTCATTCACAAAAAATATAAAAAAAGAGATCACTGGCAACATGTTGCCAAGTCCAGAGAAGCAACATTAAATTGTTTACATTACGTTCTGTACTAGATCCGCATCTCATTTTCCACACATTTTCGAAACAGTTTTCAATGTGGTTTGGGGCTCATCCGTATCCGTAATTGTTCATATGACTCTGTCCGTACTTTCCATTATTTATGAGTGGTGCTCGTGTTCGTTATTTTATTTGTTTTGTGGCAAAAGTTCTTTAACTTTTGTGCCGTGATTTTCGTGTCTATCAGTCGATATACATATAATATACACAAATATCTACATGTGGGACTGACAACTAGGCGTATACGTTATATTCTGTGCTTGTTTGATTCGATTGGCTTTCTGCTCTGTCGCTTTCCTTTCGTATTCGTTCTTGTCGTCTTCGTTTTGTTGACATTCGTCGTCGCGTGTGGTTGTTGTTCTTGTTGGGCTTATTTATATTTCAGTTTGGAGAACTAATCGTCAAAAATATGAAGAAAAACCAAAATGTATGTATCAGCGAGAGTTCGCCCTGAACTATATTTATAGGTACATAAATAATTCAATATCTGACCAGTCAAGGTCACAAACCGAGAGCTCATAGATGTGTGTGGGCCTGGGCCTGGGTCTGGGCCAACCTGCCAGCCACTTTCCCGGGGCATTAAAATGCAATAAAGAAATATGGGAAATATTACTTCGATGGAAACTGCCTCGGCCAAATGGAAATCAATTACAGCCAATGCAATTTCCATTTCATTTCAACCGTCTCGCATTCGGCTTTCGGAATAATTAAGCCGTACAATGAACCCATTGACTGTAATTGTGTCACAGAAATTTATTTTCACAACAAGCAAAATTTTGCCGAGCAAACAAAACGGAAAATATTTAGCCGGGACGAAGCGTCGCCCTGAATCTACATAACGCATACGCAGTGTGTGCCAGTTTTCTTACCTTTTCGTGTATTCATTAGAATTAGAATGTTCTTTTGCGGTTCTCCGGCTACAAATTTATTCGAAACGAATGGGAAACAAATGGGTTTTTATAAATCAATGCAATGGAACATTTAGAGGATAGTTTTCATAGTTTAAATATTAAAATTGTATACTGTATTCTATATTGATTAAATAATAAGGTTTAGGAATATTGAACTGATTTCTTGAGGGCCCTGGGAGTGATCCGCGTACTCATTAATAAGTTGGTCTGCCTTGACGGCCCTTGGGTGCGTTACGCTTAAATGATTCTAAATATAGTGGAGAGCGCCGGGCTGCCATGACGACCTTGGGGCGGTTGACGTCGGCAGCGTCGCATGCAACCAGTGGCGAAAGTGCAACATGGAGAAGGAAAAAGGGGGGAGAGTGGGTGGGATGGCACTGTCACACTATCTCTCGGGTAAAACACAGAGAAAAAAAGTAGTGCTACAATCTTTGCTTTTCAAATGATTCTGGTTATCAAGACAGTACTATCTATAAACTATTTTGTCACATAATCAGAGCGTCATAAGAGCGTCGTCAGAGCTCCATCTGCCTTCAAATATAGCTTGCAAAGAGTAAAATCTTAAAACCCCCTCCTAATTTCTCCCTGTGCACTTTGGCACTTCAATCAGCATTTCGCATTTAGCGATTCCGAGAGCAACGTCAACCGTCTTCCTCAGCGTCAGAGACAAGTTTGGTGCCCGGCTCCTCGCCGTCGGGTGTGCTCCACGAATAGTTTCCCCCATCAGCAATAGCCGTAGTAGTAGTTTGGTTTTCTGCTCTGGGCTGCTCAGCTGCTAGTATTCAAAACGCGATTAGACGCCGAACATGTGAGGCTCAGATAAGGCGTCCCTTACTCTTTACTTTTTTCGGTTGTTTTTTTCTTTTTTTCCAAATTAATTTTTTTTCATTTACTTTCAATTATTAACTTGAACTAACCAATGATATTAACTAAAACGTTGCAACAACTATGGTTTATGTTTTCCTCAGTGTCGTGGGCAATTATGGTGAGTGATCGATTGGAATCGAGTGCCGGGTCGACATTTAATTGATTTGCATGTTACGCAATTCATTGGCAAGCCGACGGTTCAGAGTTCGGCAATAAATTGACAACAACACTACAGCAAAAAACCAAAAAAGTGTAATGGCCAACGTAATGATACCCATAGTGATTACTCTAACCGACTATTTATAGTTTTTTTTTTTTGGTGTATCCACACGCGCATTACGTATACGCCACGTTGGGCCATGTCGACTCTATGTCGTCCCAGTTTCCTGGCTCTGTATCGTGTGTTCACCAATTTTTTTTGTGTAAAGTTCAGCTGTGAACACAAAGTGTTCATGAACTTGTCCGTGAATCGGTCGGAGGTGCCTTCTATGGAGGCATAGAAGGAGGAGAACCATGTTCCCAGTGGCAGTTGTCAATATTTTTTTGAAAAGTCGACTTCGAGAAAAAGCTCCGCCAACCAAACTCAGTCAACTGCGAACAAGAGCTGCACATATCCATGTTGAGCAAGTCAAGCCAAGGCAGTTACGCTCGAATTGCTTTGGTAAATCCAGCTACACATGTTTTATTTGATGGCTTTGAAAAAATATGAAAGGTGATACCGTGGAAATAATCCAATGAAAGGGGAATGAAAGGAAAATATATCAGAGATTTTATAAGAAAAATGTCAAAGCTAACCAAACCAATCCAAACCTTTAAAATTCCATGTTCTATGATGTAAAAGTCAATATAACAACCTTAAAGTTCAGTCAAGTTAGATCACTTCTTAGATCATTTAATCCCAATATGGGCAGTGATTCAATTATGGGCAGTGATTTCATTAATTTCTTTCTATATGAGCCTTTACGCTATAATGAATGAAATGATCATGTATTTTTCTGATTCCTCATTCAAAATGCAGACGTAATCGGAAAGGCGTAACGGAAAACCAAATTTATTTTCGTACAAACAATTGAGTTTCGTTGGCTTGTAATTTTTGGCTATGATTACATTGGAAGCTACAGTACATATAGATATAGTACTACATATGGATATGGTAGAATATTTTGTGTGCTTAGACCACAAAAGCAAAAAAAGGCAAACAATAATTGTTGAATGTAAAACACACACAGAAAAACATTCGGTTATAAACACCCCTTTCGAGAATGGGGCTGAAAATGTAAAATGAAAATTGGCCTTTTGTTTTTGTTGATTTTTTGTTGGTATTTGCTTTGTTGGTCTTGTTTATAGACGAGGTGTCCTAAATTAACGGTAATATGTGTGTAAAAACCAAAACTGCAAAATTGTTTACGACTAGCCGAGCAACTATTTCACAAAGGCGGGCAGTTATACATAGAGTGGCCAAAACAAAAACCGAACCAAACGAGAGAACCAAAGAATTGCTAAGCATAAGTACCAAGTATTTTAAAACCAGAGGCACAAAGGCCAGAAAATTAGTCTCTCAACTTTTCTCGGGGTCTGCCGTTTTGCGAAAAAATCCGCCAGTTGGCCCCGGACAATTTCAATGCACGGCTCGTCTATCCGCGAATTTCGCCAAGAAATCCACTAGTGGGGCTAAAAAAACTTTTAAAAATCCTCCATAACAAAACTGTATAAACTAAATATCATATTCTATGGATTTTTAAACGGAAAACCCAACAGAAACAAAAAAAAAACGACAAACGAAACAAAAAACGAACAAACGAAAAACAGGATTGAGTCGATTGCTTTATTTTCTAAATAATCGTATCATTGTGGTAAATGTATTATATTTTTCACACATTTCGTAATTGCAGTGCTTTCGATATCGAAACTAGAAAACTTTCAAGAGAGTGTTTACTATATTCTATCTATATTTTTTTCGTTCAATGTATCTTGTCTCAGATGTGTGACTTATGTAATTATGTGTCGAGTGTCGTCTGAAATACGTTTGTGCTTATTTTTAGCACCTGTTGCTGGCACCGTTTAAACACCTGAGTTTTCATGTCTGGTACTAAAAACCATATTTTCCACCCTCTCTAATCCCCCGTAGTGTCGCTACCTGGTGCTGGAACTGGCCCCACTGAACAGCCGACCATACTCCTGATCAACGGCATAGCCAGCGACTCCCAGATCGAGGACAGGCAGGAGAAGGCCGCCGCCTTGAAGCTAGCCCTCGACAATAACAATATCGAAGCTCCGATAGCCACAGTGCCCACTACCCCGGGTGGCTCTCACCTGCTCGACTTTGAATCGCATCTTATCGAGAGCATCGACGCCCACGAAGCCACAGCCGGCGGCGTCGGCATCAAGGAACTCCCGCCCATCGAACAGGAACTGCAACAGGGGACCTCCAAGCTCGGCACCGACGATGCGGAGCCCGTGATCGAGGTAGAACCGGCTGGCTCGAAAACCCTACAGCCCATTGAAGTCATCCCGCCGAGCCATCAGATCGCCGAGGTTGACGAAACGGCTAACCCTTCCGAGCAACCCGACGAACAGGAAGTCCGTCGCACCGCCGAGCAGTTGGTGGATGAGATCGAACGCGAGCTGATCCAGGCCCTTAGCCGGGATGTAGACCAGGCCCAGAAGGAGCACCAGGACCAGATCCAGCGCGATCGCCAGGAGCTTGGCTCCCTCTCCCAACAGGTGGAGGTGCAGCTGAACGAGCTGACCAGTATCCTCAAGAACAAACCCCAGGCGGAGATAGTTTTGGAGCTGCCCAAAGAAGACCCCAAGCAGGATCAGCAGACCAAGAAGCCCCTGGTAGCCGCTTCCCAGGAACTCAAGCTGGTTGAGGTTCCCACTCCAAAAACCGAGGCCGAGGAGCAACAGCGTAGGGAGTTCATCGACTCACTGCCCCAGATCGAGCAGAATCGTCTCCAAGACGGATCGGAAGCAGAGACGGATGCCCAGCGACTCTCGGCGGACTGCAAGCGGGAGTATTACCAGTCGCTGAAGAAATACCTGCTCCAGAGCAGCCAGGACAGGCCACCAGTGCCACTCCAGACATATCGCTGGGAGGATCTGCGACGAGCCAAAGAACGGGTAAGTTTCTCAGGTTTTTTATTTTCAAAATCACTTTAAAACTTTTCTGAAAACCAAATTGTTTTTATTTTTTTGGCATCGATCTGAAATATTTTATATTAAAGATCTACCAACGTCATAGTTTTGGCATTGTTTCCGGTAAATATTTTTTTGGGAATCCGTATTGTTAATAAAGTTTCTAAAAATAGTTTTAAAGTAAAACATATGGAATAATTTCAGAAATTTTCTAAAAAATGTGGCTGTTTTGTTATTAAAAAGATCTTATTATTTTAAGCAAAACATTAATGGTTTTTCGTTGTGAATTATTCTTCTAGGGCGGCTATCCCTGGACACATCTGTATAAACGCCCTTTGGGACCCGACGAGCAGCCGGAAATAGTGCTGCTCCTGCGCAAGTCCCAGGAACTGCGTTTCAGATCCGAGTCCCCCAAGTCCCTGAAGAAAGTTCGCTACGACGAACAGGTGCTGGTTAAAGAGACCGAACGCTACATCCAGGACTTGTCCGAGGACGAGGCCGTAGCCACCACCACCGACGACGACAGCAGCAGTGAATCCTCCGATTCGGAGACCGAATCCGAACGCGATCGCAACAACGAGGACGCTCTCAGTGAGTGCATTTCCTGCGTGTCGGACTCTGTCCTAGCTGTCGGAGGTCACGCCAGGCCACGCAAGACCAATCGCTTGGCACACATCCGTGATCTTATCCGACGCCGACGCAGTGGTCGCACCCACGAGGACGCCCAATCGCTGCCCGGCAACTCGGCGAATCCCAGCCGGCAGAGTAGCCTGCACGAGCTAGCTCCACCGCCGGGATCTCTGATCCCCAACACAGACAAGCCTCCGAAGAGCAGCAAGCCCAAGCAGGGCTTCGACATCATGAAGAAGCTAAAGAGCTTGGCCGAGCGCCAGAAGAAGCGTCTGAACATCAAGAGGATCACCCTGAAGAAGGACGAGAAGATTGTTCTGGGAGAGCAGCAGAAGATCATGCGTTTGAAGGCTTCTCCCAAGTCCGATCGCGGTGAGATCCCCCACTTTATCGAGAAGCAGGACTCGGACGAGATCCTGGAGCTAGTGGAGTACGATGAGTCCCCCTGCCGTAAGCGCACCAAAGAGGAGCTGCTGGAGGATCAGCCGAGTGGCAGTGTACCGCAGCCCGAGGAAATCATTGAGCTCCCGGTGGTCAAGACTGAACTAGAGGCGCCCACCCTGGAAATCACTGAACCCGCTGAGGAAAAAACTGAAGAACCAGTGAAGGTTGAGCAGCCAGAAGAAGAGGTCGAGGATTCGGCTGATCCACCAAAGAAAACTCCACGAGTTCGTAAGGAACATGTCTACGAGGAGATCGGTCAGACTCAACTGGAGCAGCCCATTGTGGAACTGGAAAGCCTCAAGAAGTCCTTGACCCGGCAGGACAATCTCGCTATCGATGACATCGAGTCGGCCAAGGCAGTGCCCTTGGATCGGATGGGCAGCAGTGAGGAGGAGCAGGTGACTGCTGGCAAGCCAAGCGCCCTGCTGGCCCCCATATCCTCAATAGACTCTACGTCCTCGGATGAAGAGCGGGCACGCCTGGCTCAGCTTTCGCCCGTAACGGAAGAGGAGACTGAGGAACCCGCTGCAGAGGAGGAACCACCACGTCCTTCCTTGAAAAAGGAGGCTTCTCCAGCACCCTCGGACAAGAAAGTGACCTTCTCCCATGTGGAAGATGAAGCGGAACCGCATCGTGAGGACGTCGAACTGCCGGAGGATGTCCTGGAGGCAGCCGCCAATGCAGCCAAGTTTAAGAATGAAAGGTAAGTGAACCTGATAACTGGGGATCTTTAAAATTCTCTCCAGAAACACCTGCCAAGCTTGACACTAACACTATGCACTCCCCGAAAACCGATTCATCGGTGGCTCTAACCAATCTTCCAGAGGCTCTAACCTATTTGACTTCCTAATGAAATTGTTACTAACACTTGTGCCGGGATCGGGAACTAAATCGGGATCGGGCAGGAGCCGTCGCCGGCTCACCAAGCACCATCGGGCACCACAGTACCGTGACTACCATTACACCCACACAGACAGCACCACCAAAACAGTAACCCCACACAACAACAACAATACTTGGCGTATTCGGGTGAAACGATCCTCATCCTGGACGCTCTGCTGCTGCTGCAGTGCCTCCAATGGAGGAACACAAAAATATTGGTAGCGGGCTCAAGGCGAAGGTGGCCTAAATGATTTAGACCTAAGGTAAGACTGGAAAATGGTGAAGGTGTAGTGTCCTTGGGTGTGTTACATCGGTGGGAGAAGGGTTATAAGATGAAAGATGAAACAGTTATTAAAAGTTATAAACGATTTTCACTATTCTTTCTAAAAGAATAGATTGTAAATAACGAAGCCTACAAAAACTATACCCTTTTTTAATTGAATTAAAAGTGTTTTAAATAGTTTTTGTTTTAAATAGTTTTTTATATTCATAAAGATTATATATATTTTTTTAAAGCCTCTATCTATAACCTTCTTCCAACCGATTAACCCTAAAACCTATTGCACTATAAACAAAATGTACGCGTCCTTTACATATCCCCATTAAATGTTGGTGATGGTCCTAATAAATACGACATTAAGCAACAATCTATAGCCATATTGGTGGGGTTTGTGGTGGGAATGGAATGTGTAGGAGGACTCCTTGACTAGATGATCTTCTGACAACCACTTCCAAAGGTCACCATTGTGGATAAAAGCCAACGACAAATAATTACATGGATAAAAACAAAACAAACGGCGCATATGTATCTGAAGAACATCAAAAGAGTACGATAATATATTTAGCGCTCTAAAGGTCGACAAATGACAAGAAGATTTCCGGCAGGCAGGCAGGCAGTCAGGCAGGCGGGCCGACATGTCCCCAAAAATAGAACGATAAAGTGCAGGCCAAGTCACTAATTGTTACTCCTCGGCTTCCTCCTTCCAATCACGGTCTCCTTTCTCCGCATTATACGATCCAAATTATAAAGAAACAAACACAGAAAAAAGTGTTTTTATAAAAAAAAAATATATAAATCTAGCACAGTTTATTATAACAAACCCGAAGCTCTTCATAAAGACATCTTCAAAGTTAAGCCTTTTTCTCTCTGTGCATATTTGTCACCGCGCAGTCAACAAACATACTCTTAGATGCCTCAGACATTGCCTCAGACAGCACACAATTGCCATTATAATCCGTGAATGTGTGTGTGTCTGTGTGTGTGTTTGCTAATTTTAAAGAAAAACATTTTCATCTTTTTTCGAACAAGAATTTCGGTTGAAAAATTTGTGTCGCGCACAAATGGCGGACGAGGAAAGCTTTCGGACCTCAGGCCTCCTCAGTCCTGGCCGAAAATCGCAACGATGTAGACCGATCGCTCGCGCTCACACACACACACTAGCAGCACACACTTGCTAACGGGACTCAGAACACCGCACAACCGCACCAACGTCCGATAACCGGAAATTCCAAAGCGCGTTATCGATAAACGATTATTGAAGCCATTTAATGGTGGAGAAGAAGGCCATTAAATAGAATTGCAAAACTTTTCGGGGCGCAGAAAATATTTTCGAATTTCGGGGCAGAAAATAAATTCAATGTCCGCTGCTCTGGTGGCGATTAAAAATAGCCACGACGACCACACAGCTGAATCGAACAAAAGCTCGGGGAGATTAGAAAGAGGTGGTGAAGACGAATAGCAAAATACGGGAGAAGAAGGCCCGGGAGGAGGAGGTGGAGGATTACGTACCCAGGCCAAGTGAATAAGTAACCTAAAGTCGCGATGCTGAACTCTCGGCGATCCGCTTCCGTGGGCGCCCTGCCGGCGGAGAAGCGACACTTTGTGTCCCGGCAGGAGAGTGCTAGTGGCGCCTCCCTGGATGTTCGCTGTGCCTGCCAGTACTTTCAGTGCGAGTCCCTTTTGCCGGAGCGTGTTAATCCCGTCGACTCGCGTCCTGGCTCCCGACTCAGCCAGCACGCGGAGGAGCAGTTCCCGCAGGGGTTCCTAAATCCCAGGGATGACCTTTCCGCCCACAGCTTCGAGGTGGTGAGTCACGCCGATGTGGCGCCTTCGGTGGACCTCAGTTTCATGGAGCGCTATCCGGAGCTGGAGCAAACGGCCAAATCTCGTGGCCTGGTTGTCCGCAGCATCTCCGATGCCACAGAACCCGAACCGTACTCCAGTGCCCATCAGATGGGGGGTGTTGGAGGAGGTTTCACGGCCGGCCGCAGGCGACAGCTCTCCATGGGTGGCCTCTCCTCGGGCAGCATGGGTCGCTTTCCGGACACTGCCTCTATGAGGAGCGGCACCTCCCTGCGACGCATCTCCGCCGGTAACTCCAAGATGGATCTGTACTGTGCCGACATCAATATACCCACTAGTTCAGGAACAGTCGGTCCTGGAGGACGGCGTTCCGCAAGTGCCAGTCGAAGGGCCTCCAATGCGGACTTGTTCCAGGCCAGCATTCTGCAGCCAGGATCCATGCAGCTGCCACAACTGAACTTGATACCCGCAACAGCTAGTCCGGAAATGATGAACCTACCGCCGCAGTTTCCCTCCCATCAGGCTTCCCCAGCTCCCTCGCAAGATTTCCGGGTTGCCAAGCCGCCTCTATCGCCGGATTACATGCGGCCCAGCGATGACAACAAGGAGAACCGGTATCCAGGTGATGTGCTTCCCCAGAATCGTCCCATCGATGTCTCACGTTTCGGTGGCGATGCAGTGCGTCCTTCGTTTTTGTTGGAGTCCGATTTCCAACAGATTCAGGAGCACCAGAATCCCTACCAGTCCACCGTGACCAGCATTGATCCTTTGGCGGAGACAGTGGCGGAACTGGAGCAGATAGCCCAGGAACATAATATTGTGAGTATCCGGGATAATATACAGGCGGAGACCAGGAAGCCACCATCCATTGGAGGGGATATCAGTGCGGCGCCACTGAAAGTGGATGAGCTGACAAAGATTGAGATCATCCATGATGTTCCCGTGGTGGATATAGATGAGCTGGTCAGGGAGGAGGAAGCAAAAGCAGCCGAACACCGCAGCCGGAGTCCCAGACCTGCCCCCAGACGACCCAAATCCCCGCCAGTGATGGCCACCCTTCAACTGCCCTCCAGTCGCCCTACCAGTCCCACGTTAGCGGACCAAGCTTCACCGGTTAGCCAGCCACAGCCCCTAAAGCGCCAGCACACACCCGAAAGACACCTCTCACCGGAAAGGGCCACCAAGTGGTTGCCGCAGCAGGAGGATATTGTAACGCATCCCTCACCGGCTGTATTGAATCTGGAAGATGCTTCCCCAGAAGTGAAAAGCTCCTACACTGCACGTTTCAAGTCCATGTTTGGGTCGAAGGAACCCCGACAGAAGTCACCCTCTCCCGCACCACAAAGATCCCGGACACCCAGTCCCAAGCTGGAGCGGCACGAGAAGTCGCCGTCACCCGTAAAGTTCCTATCGGTGTTCTCCAAGGGCAATGCAATGTCCGTGGTAAACACCACAACAGCAGCCATCAAGGGCAAGGAAGCGGAGCCCCTCGCTGTCAGGGTAACGGAGACGTTTTCCCTGAAAGTGGATGACATGGATCAGTACACCAGCCGGCCAGCCAAGCCAGCAGCTCCTCCGCCGCATGCCCAGACACTGTACAGCAGTCGGGAGGACTTTGCTGCCTCGGAAAGGGCTCCGTCCGTGGATATAAGCGAGGCCTTTGCTCCCGTGGTGGTGTCCTCCCTGCCTCGAGGTGTGAGTAGCCTCGGAGGAGGTGGCAGCATGACGGGAACCATAAGTACGGGTGTGCCCAGTTTCATAGCCGGAAACAGGAATCTTTACTCCAGCGAAATCGATGTGCCGGATCCAGGATGGCGACAAGCCGGCGACTCAGTCAGCAGGGACCAAGGATGGCGGCAGACCGGAGACTCTGCCAGCAGGGATATCTCCCTGGGAGGCAGTCGACCACTGATCTCCGTGCCCATACAGATCTCTGGATCGGGAAGTAATAGCCACATATATCGACCGCTTCACCAGCAGCAGCGAGCACCCTCCGAGCAGCGAGGAGGATTCGGCGTACAGAGGAAGTCCTCGTTCCGGGAGCCGCGAACCCAATCCCATGACCGCACGACCAGCTCCCGCTTGGGACGATCCCAGGAGCAGCTCTTTGGCAGCTCCCGCATGACAAAGACGGTTAGTTTCCATTTTGACGAACGCAAATCGCGCCTCGCGGAATTCGAGTCCAACTCGCCCCTGACCCCCAAGCAAATAGAACACAGAGACTTCCTCGAAAGGACCTATTTCTCTCGGTAAGCCATCGCCATAATCCTGTGACTACCGTTACCCGAGCCACCTCGAAACCCCCCGAAAACCCACGACACTACCGCGCAGGGTGAAGGCTTTTCTAACCACCGCTTTATAGGTTATCTTTGTTGCTTTTGAAACACCACACAACCCATGTCGATGATCCCTTTCTTCAAGTCCATGCAATCCAAACTGATAGATCTTGTTTTTTTCAACCTTTCAGTGATCATGAATACGAGCCCGTGGGCTCCTCGCCAGCGCCCAGCCCCCCAGTCGAACCCATGGACATCGACAGCGCCCTGAGTTCGGGTGGCACCACACCCCGCACCGAATCTCGCACCGACTACGAAATCCACACCAGCCAGGTGGACTCCAGCGCCCTTGAGGAGCTGCCGCTGCAGCCGGAGAACCGTCGCAAAGGATTCATGGCCTCGGCCCAGGATCGCACCCGTAAGATGCAGGATGGCATCCGCCAGCAGGCCGGAAAACTGCGCACTCGGCTGCAAACGAAACCAAAACCCAAGCCCGTCTCCGGTAGTCCCAAAGCCAAGGCCAAGGAGAGGAGGCGCTTCAAGGCCCCTGAGTTCTCCAAGATCAAGATGCCCGAGATCAAGCGACCGGACATGTCCAAGTTGAAGGAAATAAAGCGTCCGGAGTTTACAAAGTTCAGTAAACCGGACATGTCCAAGTTCAAGCTGCCGGAGAAGTTCTCCACCCTGAAATTGCGACGCAGCAAGAGTTTCAAGGAGAACGAGGGTGAACTTCAGGTGGAGGAATCCCCCGAGGGCACTGGCACCCCGGCATCCCCTAGTCAGGCCGCCCAGCCGGCGGCTCCAAAGAAAAAGTTCGAGTTCAATTTCGGCACCTATCCACGGGCTTTCAGGAAGAAGAAGGAGGAACCTGCTCCGCCGGTCGTGGAGTCCTCACTAGGCACTGAAGGTCTGAGCCTCAGTGTGATCCCCAGCACGGAGACCCAGCCTTCTCAAACTTCCACCAGTTCGCCGCAGGGAGATCGTGGACCAGGACCAGTGAGATCCCGTTGGGCGGACAAGTTCTCCGACGTGAGCTACAACGACAGCGAAGGATCGCGCTACCGGCGGTATGGTAGCGAGCTGGAATCCTTTGACCGGGAGTCCTCGCTGGAGCGACGCATGAAGGAGGACCTGGAGGGAACTGAGGACACGGCCAGCGAGGCCCAGCCCCAGCCCGAGATGGGTATCCTTGGAGGGGTGGCAGACAGCAAGCAGTTTGCGGAGTTCGATGAGGAGAACCGTGCCATCCACGAGATCTCCAGCAAGAGATCCCGGGAGTTCAAGCGACGGCCCATGGTGCACCAGGATTCCGATCTGCGCTCCGAAGACAGCCATGATGCGGAAGGATGGACAGAGAAGGATATCCAGAAGAATAAACTTCTCCGGAAGGCAGAGCTTGAGGCCGAGGCTGGTTTCTACAAGTTCCACGACCTGCAGGATGCTCAGTCTACGGCTAGTTCCGGCAAAAAGGTGGTCATGGAGACCATCGACGATGATGAGTTCTTCCTGCGCAAGCGCGGCATCTCCGAGGATAACATCCAGCTGCGCCAGTATATCAGCGAGGCCATCCGCGAGGGCTACGACATGCCCAATGCCCTCAAGCATGTAGGATACTCTGCGGAGCAGGTTCCGGCGGAGTATGGGGACTACGACGTGCCCCCCGCCAAGCCACGCCGCTTGCATAGGAACTACCAGCCGGACTTTGAGTCGCAGGAGTTCGATGACCTGTCCATGTCCCAGAACGGTAGTGACTTCGTCCCCAAGAGACCCCTGAGGAAGGCCAGGAGCCGCAGCAAGTACTCCATCGAAGGTAGCCAGGAGCTCCCGATAGCGGATGGGGGCAGCAGCATCCAGTACTTCGAAGACGATGAGGAGTACCTGCGACCACCGACCCGGGAAACTGAACAGCCCCTCAACAATCTCGACCTGGAAGTGGAACGAAAGCAGCAACTGGCGGAGGAGCAGGATCTAGAGCCTCCACTACCACGTCCACAGGCTCCCAGACGCCAGAAGAAACGCACAAGGGACGACGTTTCTGTGGACAAGGACGCAGACTCCTTCATCAATGGCTTCGGTGGCAGATCAGTATCGAATACCTTTTTGCAGCCACAGGAAGATGTGAGTATGGAAAGGGGTTTCTATTGAGGATGCCTCTTGATCCTCTCCTGATTCCAGGTAATTGTTTATCGCACTGAGCACGAATATCGCCACGTACCGCTAGCCACGCCGGACACCTTCACGGATGGGACATCGGCCCGCACGCAGCGCTCCGAAGACGAGCGGACGTCGCGCGGCGCCGACTCCTTTATCCTGGACACGAAGACGAAGTCGGAGGAGGACAACGAAGATGGAGTGCAACGCTCCAAGAGTGACGAAAGGTTCGTCATCGACATGCTGGAGAGTGACGGGTGAGTAGGGAAGATCTTTGACATGGATCCGTAAAAGTATCGCTATGTGTTGCTTTATCCGCCCGCTTCCAGCTATGCGGTGGTGCGCAAGGAGCTGCCCAAACCGACTCCACCGGCCCGCCGGAAGAAGTTCAGCCGGCTGCCGGGCGAGAGATTCGCCACGTTGCCGAGCATCCGCGGCTCTAGGGGATCGCCGCCCCCAGCTCGGCCGCCGCCGCCCGAGAAGTACGTGCCCACGCTGGACTCGCCCGCCCTAAGTCTGGACGAGATTCCCGCCATGATCAAGTCGAAGTAAGAGAGCAGCCACGACAACTAATGTTTTTGTTTTGCCGTTGATTTGTTTTTGCGAATGCATTTGCGTTAAGTTTTTAGTTTTATTTTTTAGTTTTATTTTTTTAAGCAACTAGACTAAGGCCTCTATTCCGAGCCGATTCTCACGAGAAACACGCACTCACACAATAAAGCTAAACATGAATCCACCACACAGACACAGCAACTCTCTGGCTTTTTGCTTTCGGCCTTGCCCAGTTTCTAATCCCCAATCCCCAAGATACCTTCTCTAATGAAACCTTTTCCCTAGCTACGAGAAGGAGCAGAAGCAGCTGCCGCAGGAGGAGGAGGATGACTACGAGGAGCCGGGTCGCAGTAATTTGCAATCGGGCGAGGTCATCAACAAGATGAAGTTCCGCCCGCTGCCGCCGCCACCGCGTCCTCCGAGGGAGAAACGCTCTGGCCGGGCCGGTAGCCAGACCCTGGAGAGCTACGAGGACAGCGAGCACGTGGCCAACTCCAGCCAGGCGGATAGCTACGACCAGGGTGAGTTTGAGGTGGAGGTCTCCACCCAAACGGATCCGCTGCCGGATGACTTTGTGTGCGAGGAGTTCGAGATCACCGAAGACATGAAGATCATTGAGCCACGCATTGGTGGAGCTGCCAAGACCTTGGAGGATATGCTGCGGAGCGTGGAGGCCTCTCAGGCGCAGGATGAGGTGGATGGGCCAAAGATTCTCTCGGAGGACGAACAGCTGGCCAAGGGCCTGCAGCGTTTCCGGGATGCCAACCAGCGCAGCATGTCTGAGCGATCGAGAGCATCCTCTCAAGCTGACCGCTCCAAGTCGTTAAGTCGCCCGCAGACGCCTTCGTCGGCTGTGATCATTGAGCGGCGAGTGCCCACTCCCAATCTGGATCAGGATGATCCGGCTACCGTTCAGGCCTCTCTGATTGTGCGACCCATCAGTGCCGCCGATCTGGAGGATGAGGAACTGCGTCGAGAGGAGGAGGAACTGCGCCGCGAGGGTCTACTTTCCGATAGCTCTGTTCAAAGCAAGTCTGACGTGGAGGAGGAGCAGGAGCACGGTCTAAGCGACTATGGAGCCAGTTCGGCGGATCTGGATGCGGCAGTGGAGCAACTGCAGCAGGCGCAGCTGGAGAGTGACTACGATAGCAGGCTGGAAGATGATGAGGTGGAACGCACACTCCGGGACAGTGAATACGAGGAGGAGAAGTATTCCGAGCATGAAAAGTACTCTGAACAGGAAGAGTTGGAGGAGGAGGAGGAAATAGCTGAGTTGGAGAAGCAGCTGACAGAGCAGGAATTGGAAGAAGCACTGGAGAAGGAGCTGCAAGAAGCCATGGAAAAGGAACTGGCCGATTACAGGCAAAAGGAAAAGGAGCAGGACCACGAACACGAGCAGACCTTCTCGGAAGAGGAGCCAGTGGCTTCGGAAATAGACTATCACCCATCCGAGGACGAACCAGTGGCCTCGGAAAAAGAAGAGGAGCCAGTGGCTTCGGAAATAGACTATCACCCATCAGAAGAGGAGCCAGTGGCCTCCGAGATCGATTACCGGCCCTCTGAAGACGAGCAAGCAGCCTCAGAAGGAGAGCAACCCCTGTCTGAAAAGGAGTACCCTATTTCGGACACGGAGCCAGTCCAATCGGAATCCGAAATCCCCGTAGAAGAAGCCCCTATTGAGAAATCCACCGCCATTGAACCCACCGAAGCTGAAGTCGAGCTCAAATTCGTGGCTACCTTGCCCACGGAACCCGCCTATGAAGAAGAGTTGCTGGAGCCCGAAGCTGCCCCACTGCCACCGCCACGACGCCGATCCACCACCGTCCTGGAAACCGCTCTTGCCCCTAGCCTGACCATTGCCGAGCAGTCCAGCCGGGAGCTGACACCTGTGCAATCGCTGCAGCAATCCCCGCCAGAACCTCAACTACCCAGCCGACTGGCTGAGCTGGAAGTGGAGCGCCTCAGAGTCCATGCCCTACAGGCTGGTCAGATTCAAGTATCCCAGCTCCATGGTGCACAAATCCGGGCCGACGAACTGGAATGTAAATCTGGACAGTTGGTGGTTCAAAATATCGAACTCCCGCCTGGTTTCATTGATGACATTGTGGAGCGTGTGCAGCGAGAACAGAGACCTTCGCTGCTGACCACTGAAACCCAGACCAGTCGGCAGCCCAGCAGCGATCCCTCCGAGAAGGAGCAGCCCGTTAAACCCCCGCGTCACAGCAAGACGACAGAGCAGCAACCACAGCAGCAAGCACCGGTTGCCTCCACCTCCAATCTCGACGAGCAGACCCAGACGGAGGCGGGCTTGCTGCCACCAGCGGCTTATCCTAGTGTGGAGTACCTGCAGTCCCTGGCCCCACTCGCTTTCTACAATCTCCAGCGCAGCGCCGAGGCAGAAGCCTCTTCGGCTGCTGATAGGAAGGCACCCCATAAGTGCCGACGTCGCCATGTCCAGGAAACGCACACCGAGCAGGAATCCGGGTCCGAGGTAGAAGATCAGGTGGTAGAACGACCACGCTCCAGGTCTCGTAGATCCCGTACCAGGAGCGCCACTCAGCCGCCAGAGGAGGAGTACGATGAGGATCAACCCAAGACGGTGGTCCAAGCCGGTCGGCAGTTCATCTCCGCCTGCAGCCTGGAGCTGGTCAACATCATTAATCAACTGACCCATGTCGTCCGGGGAGAGGCTGTGGAGCCGCAGCAGCAGCCGCGGAACATCTCGGCCCTGATGGTGCTTTTCATTCTGATTACATTTGGGGTTCTGGTCTTCCTGCTTACAGGGCGACAGGTGCACACACATCATTGGGACTACTTTAATCCACCGGGGAACGAGGGTAGGCAGACGTGAGACGTGATTAGCTAGGGAGGGGAACAGGATCCCTATCTGGGCGGTTTTGCATTTTGGATCGAATCTCGCATCGAATCTTGTAGAGAAGAAACGAATTTAAATGCGGCCATGTGGTGGTCGCTCGAAACTTGAAGGCCTTACAAATGATGATATACTAACGCGAAATTACTTTAGGGGGAGGTGCGCACGAGGGGCGTGGCCCGTGCTACTAGACAATTACTAACAACCCAAAAATATATAAGGGGAACATTTTTCATCGATATAGGTCCTATATTATAGGAGATTTAAAAAACAAAAAAAAAAGCAAAAAGGAAAGCACTTGGAGCAACGACCATGTATTAATTATGTACTTAACTAATGTACTCATAGTACAGATTTTTTTTAGACGGGGCTCGAGAGTTTGTTTCAAGAAGGAGCGAGGACTAGTCCCACACAAAAACTTACTTTGTTTGCTCATTTTTCTACAAGATTAAAAAATGGGAAGGCGAGAGATTCAATTGTTGAACAAATTGTTGTTTAATTTAGACCAAGAAAAAAACGTAGAAACTAATATTAAAAGCATACACTCTTTTTCATTGAATTCATTTGAACGTTATAAATTGAAAAATGCGGATACTTAGCCAGAAAGTGAACATATATACATAACTATATAGAAAAGCGTATTTTCAATAAAGCAAAATGATATAAAATAATAAAGGGTCAACGTGTCTTAATCGGTCAAGTGGAGATGGGAAAACATAACTTAAAGATAGTATACAATCTACTGCGTAAGGAGAATGATTTATAGCAAAAAGTCCTCATTGTAGTGCACCATCTCACGGTGGTCCTTGTGGCTGCCCTTTTGGGATTTGCTGGCGGCTAAAAGACAAAGGTTATATAAAGTAAAAGTTATAGGTTTGGACTTCATATTCTTACCAATGGATGACCAAACTGCGGAGGAAGAAGCATCGTTTATAGCTTCGATTTGAGGCTGACGTCTAGCCAGCTGGACTTGCAAATTGATTCCATTCACATTTTTGCCATGCATTTCGGCAATGGCTCGGTCTGCGGATTCCGGTTTGGCAAAGGAAACAAAGCCACGACTAGGGGAGAGTAAATATTAAACCAGACAATCGGATAATAGATTAAAATGATCTATACCTCTTTTCAATCTCCATTGAGACATTTACAATGGTTCCATAGTCGTTGAAGGTTTTCTTCAAGAAATCTTCAGTAACCTTGTTGCCAGAAACGAAGATAGTATTACCGGCACGTGGCTTTTCAGGCTGGGCCGTGTCCATTGGAGATTTTTCAACCAAGCCACGCTCTTCGCGGTCCCTCTCGGTAGCAAAGTGCTGATAGAGATTCTGCCGGCGTGGCTCCTCTTTAATAATCTCACTTATGATGGTCTCCTGGGCAACATCGTTCTGGGTGGACGAGAAGGGCTGATAGGAGGCCACGGTGGTCTCCGAAGTGGATCGCTTAGCTCGCTCCTGTCCTTTCGGGCGCTTGAATGAAGTCTGGTCCTGCTTGGTCTGCTGCTTTTGAATGGCGGGAATGGCGCCGCTCTTAATAAGCTTCCTGGCCACTTCACGAGCATCTCGAGCATCCGCCGGACGCTTTAAGGTGAGAGAGCTCTCCGGTTCCGGTTTGGGAGCCTTGTGAGCCTGCAGTGCTTTTTTCTAGAATTTGGAAAAGAAATTCAAAAACTATTTTACAGAATTTCTTGACTAAAAACATACCTTCTTCTTGAGCTTTTGGTACTTTGCCTGTAGCATCTGCTCCTCTTCGGTTAGATTGTTGGGAAAGTGTATGTAAACCATTTTTAAAGGGTTTACTTCAATTTTTTAGCAAATTATCCAAAATTTTGTTTATTTTTGGTCTGAGTTTTGTAATAGTGTAGCTGCACACTTCAAAATTAAAAAAACCAACTAGTATTTCGATAACAGTACTAAAAATACCCAAAAATACAGCCCTACATTAACCAACACTGGCGCCATGTTAGCGAAGAGCTGTCAAAAAAATTCTTTCCTTCTCTTTCTTTCCGGTTAGCGTCATGGTAAGATTTAGCTAACTTTTCTTCGATTCGGTTGAAAATGTGAAAATTAAGCGACTTGGGTCGCAGGAGATGAATTAAATATGGAAGCAAAGTGCAAGGGTCAGTGCGTTGCCCATGTGGAACATGAAACTGAAGCTCGAACTGTTGAAATAATGTAGAATTCCGGGTTGAAAATATTTCACGTGGTGCTCTACAACAACACGAGCAACGCGCAGACTGGCATAAAGTATTACATTTTCCGGTGCTCATGATTTTTCATACTTGCAGCCTTTCGAGAGATTCGTACAAACTGGTCGCATTGCCAAGGCCTCCGCAGGTCCCCTGAAGGGACGCCTGCTGGCCATCGTCGACGTCATTGACCAAAACAGGGTAAGTGCATCCAGTTCCACAGGCGGGAGCAGCAGCAACAAATGGTCTGAAATGCTAGTGCTTGCACATGATGATAATTTGTCTTCTTGATAGGAAGTGCCAACTGACACATAAATGAAGCTATTTTAACCCACTGAAGACAAGCAATAGCTAGAAGAACATTGGATGCGGCCTCTTGAATGTATGAGAACACTAGTTAATGATTGATCTTTGATTTATAGGTTCTGGTCGATGGCCCTCTGACTGGTGTGCCCCGTCAGGAATACAGGCTGAGCAACCTGCACCTGACCAAGTACCGCATCAAGTTCCCCTACACCGCGCCCACGCGCATTGTCCGCAAGGCCTGGACGGAGAGCGACCTGAAGGCCCAGTGGAAGGTCAGCCCCTGGTCCGTCAAGGCACAGAACATCTGCAAGGTATGTACAAGACAAGAAGAGGGTGTCTACCGTTTACTCAGTGTACATGATGATAGTTGAAAGTTCTTGATAGGAATTGCCGGCTGACACATATATGAAGCTAGCTCTTTTTTTAATCTGACACCATAAACTAGGAGTAGGGATGTGAAGAGTACTTTTTCCAAATATTAAACCCAGTATTTCTTCTCCACAGCGCTCCCAGCTGAACGACTTTGACCGCTTCAAGCTGCGTTATGCCAAGCGCCAGCGCAACAAGCTGCTGACCATCGCCTTCAACACACTGAAGAAGCGCACCAAGGCTGACGGCACTCCCCGCGTCCTCAAGAAGGATCGTCGCGAGCGTCTGCGTGCCGAGAAGGCCAAGGGTGGCAAGAAGGCCGCGGCCAAGAAGTAAAAAAAACATAATTTTTTAACGAAAGTAACTGCTTGATGAACTTCCACCACCATGGAGAAAATAAAAGAAAGTGTTATTTTTAGGAAAAACACACGTGCTCGTTGTTTTAATTTTTGTGTTTGTGGTTTATTGGTTTCAACAGTTCTATTTCCACGCCAGAAAACACGTTCGTAACAGTCTAATCTATCCGATTTTTAAAGCACAGTCTCCCAAAAACAATTCACAAAACAACGTAAATGGGCAGCGGGTCCCGCTTAGTTGTCCTCCTTGCCGTAGATGGTCTTCCAGTTGCTGGGATGGTTGTAGCCCAACAGAATGGGCAGATGCAGGAACAATGTGATGTGCTCGCCTTGAATGGACGTTGACACCTTCACCCAGTTGCGCAGCCACTCGATCATCTCTTCGGTGCTCAGGCATTCTGGATTCAGGCCGCGCAGATAGCAGGAGTAGCGCAGAGCCGGCAGTGGCAAGTTGTGCACTCCACCCTCGCGGTTTATCGCCTGGTCCATGTAGTGCACCAGAAAGGCGTGTTCATGCAGACGATGCCGCTTGAATATGCTGCTGGGTAGGCCATGGAGGTTGACTAGGTTTTTCTACAAAAATAAAGGTACATATGAGTGCTTGGAACATTTGGCAGAATCCTATGGTTTCTCGAGAGGATTGAGATTAATACATTTTAAACATAACCTACTACGTGCTTTCGCGGCATTCCCAGTAGTGAGTAGGGTCCATCAACGAATATGTCTTTGACATCGATTAGCATCTCCGGCGTCGGGTGGGTTCCGCTGCCCAATTGGCCCAGGATGTCTGCGAACTGGGCGTGCTTTGGGTGAGCAGCGGTTGCCTTGAGCTTGGCCTGCAGGCAGCGAAAGACCGGCTTGTTGTAACACAGCCGCCGCTTCATGTAGTAGATCTGGAACTCAGAGCGCTGCTGCGGAGTCCAGAAATGGCTGGTCAGAAAGGTGCGGGGATACCAGAAGCTACAGGAGAATTACAAGTTAATATAAGAACAGTACTAAGCAGGAGAGAAGTCCTACACGAGGGGGAAGAAGGCGTAGCCAACCATTGGCAGTGAACAGCCGATCAAAGCGGGCGCCACCTTTATCATGTCTCGGGGCATTTGCATATACAGCTCCAGCTCCTGTCGATTTAGTACCCTGATGCCTTGCGGCGAGTCATTGGCTATGCGGGCGATCTTCAGGAATCGCTTCATGTCCCCAAAGAAGGTCTTGACGCCGTCGAAGAAAACCCGATACAGCTGCATGGCCTTGGGGAAGTTCTTCTCCAGCACTTTGTCATAGTTCTTAACGTAGTTGAAATAGCGCGTAAAGATATAGTCTTGCATATTGTCCCGCATTTGATCGCGCTTAGATTTGATGGTATCCGCCGTATCTTTGCGCTTCTTGTCGTCCTCCGGTTTTTTTGATGACGGCGGGGTTGGGGAGGTGTGACTCTTCATATGTGGCTTATTGGCATCCCAGCCCGTCTCATAGATGACCTTACCCACGCTGGTTATCTCTGCGGCCACATTCCGCTTGATTTGCGAGGGTGCCGGAGACGGTTTTGTGGCGAACTCCCTGCGCTTAGAGCACAATATCGTTGGAACGCCATCGCTGGGGGTTGATAATTGGATTTTAATCACTCAATTGATAAATGGGGCTTCGGGGTCTCACCTAGCGCTGCAAAGGCGAATCAATCGGCGGCGATCTTGGGGCCAGCGAATCGCCGGACCCGCTGAAAATCGGGCCATACGCAGCGCCAACGCCATTCCGAGAGCTGAATCCGGAAACTGACGCCAGAAACCACAAACAGGTGCGTATTGTTACGCAACCGGTGACTCCAAAGCAGGAGCTCGGCCACAGAAACGTAAATTTTAGGTGCAATTTCCAAAAATTTCACATGCAACTTAGAGTTGTCAGATGTTGGGCCTGAGGGCCCCCAAAAACCAGAGTTGCCATGTTGCTTCCAAAGAATGAAGAATGGGTGTTGGTATTT